AACGTGAGTGAGGAAATGCGAGTAGTTTTGACCCAGAAAGCGAAATTTGAATATCAGACACTTAGGTGCAAGATTATGCCAAAATTCCATGTTTTCCGTCCTGTTTTTGCTCATATCTCGGAGGCAAAATGAGCAAGAACGCTCATTTGCACATCATTCTAGAGAAAAATAAATGGCCTTTTTAGAAAGTGAACCACGGATGGGGAAATGTTGGCAGTTTTCTCAAAAAATGCTTGAATTCAAGAAGTTTTAGATTTGCGTGAGTTTTTTTTCAGTTGCAAAATCCACTTGAACATGACGCTACTTTTTTCGAAGTTTCTCAAGAACCATTCGAGCCAGAGAATTCGTTTTGGCATCGTTGGATAGATAATTGAATGGGGGGGGGTCATGACNAGGATCCGCCCTTGCACTGGGGTATACTTTTTAGCTGCAGGTTTTATAACAACCGATATATTTCATACCTATAACGTAATCTGATGATGGTTTGTAAAGAAATCGAAACGTATTGGATGTTGTGACGCAAATGGCATTAATGACTGAAAGCCAGGAAGCATAAAAATTGTAATGAACCCATAGATGATAACCCATTAGGATTGCCTGTGCGTAGAGGACATCAAGAGTTCCATCTAGCTAGACATGGAGATTGCGCGCGCCCATTAAGGCGTTATACAACAAATACTCTCCTTTTCCAACTCATTACACCTGTATACTTGAACCTGACCTATTATGCTAGACCTGCTTGCCAATTTATCTAGTTCTTGTCTAGGGTTGCCTAGTTTTACATGCATACTTTCTTGAATAATTTCTGGGTCATTAATGGATTAGATAATGGCGCGACTGACAAAGGTTTATTATGGAGTTTTGAAGCATGAAAACAAACTGTCTTTACCATCCATGAAGTAAATGAAATAAAAAACAGGCGTAACCATTCAAGAGACGTTCTGCTTGAACTATCGTAATAACGCAAGACGCGATGCGTTTTCGCTTTCAATAGCTGCTTTCGCTACGACCACATAATTCTAATAAAAGTGAATCTAGGATACTAATGAGTTGAGAAACTGGTTTATATCGTTGATATAACCTGAATACTGGGTAGGTCAAAAGCATTACCTGCATTTGTTGTGGGTATTTCGGAAAAAGGCACTGGCATTTCCGCAATTTCATTGTCCGCGTTAATTTCCAGATCCGCCTCGGACGTAACAACAGAAAGGGTCGGGGTTGAGCTATTATCCTCTGGTGGAATCGTAGAAACGGCAACAGAGCCCGGAACGCTTTGGGTCTCGTCGTGCATATTGTTTATTCGATTTCCCAAATGTCCCGCAATGATAATCAAAAAAATCCAGACGCAGAGCCTTGAACAGCTCTGACCTTCAGATTCGCGCCAACGTTTCACTAACTTCTATTTCTTTAGCTATGCAAAATCACGACGTTTTGGAAAATGTAGGTCTGTAGGCCACTTCGCTTCCACTTTGAAGTCACTTGTGACAGTAGACATATGTCTCATTAGTCAGTGAACCGACTGTGGTCATACGCTGCGATGGATGCAGGAGCGTTCTTTGAAAATAATTCCCCAATTTAAGTGCTACTTTCAACAAATCCGAACAAGATCTGGCACAAAGCGGCCCGATTTGTTTTTGCCGATATAATTTCATTCAAAATTAAACGGCTTCTTACTACTAGCCAACTTTCCCAGGCAAATCTAGGTCACGTAGTAATCGCGTCTAGGCAACTATTGCACAATTTAAATTCACTTTTTACGGGGCTAATTGAGTAAATATTTATACGCGTCCGAACTGAGTGGTTTTTTTGGGATTCATTGGGGGCACGCCGTTTTTTGACCCGCGTATAGATACTGCGCAATTTCACTCAGCATTTGAATTGTGGCGGTACTTCTATCAGACAACTAATTTTTCCTTGTCTCCACTTCCCAGCATGTTGGGTAAAAAACCGATTTAGTTAATTAAACCCTACCGCCCATAAACAAAACACGATCAAAAGTTTTTAAAAATCTATTTAAATTTTTGCAATAACTGGGCAAAATAAAGGACCAAAAAAAGTTGCACTCAGAAACGTTTTCTGAGTAAATTGTATATAAATTGAGTTTAATGACCAATTTTTTTGGACGGAGTCACACTATCTTCCTGTTACCCTCAGTTAAATTGAGTGGCATTAAATAAGGGGTCCGATTTTTCAATTTCTTTTACAGATTTCAATGCTGTTCCAACGCCCTCTACTTTAATTGTATATACCTAACTATTAAAACGCTCCTTATTTACAGAAAAAAACAATCGCCACACATTGATATATACAGGGTGTTTCACTAAAAAAACAAGTTTGATATGCCACGGAATTTCAGGTTAGTAACTGTGTAACGGAAACAATTTTAATAGATGTCCACTATTGAGGCCAATATAAAACATCATTTCAAAATTACACCCCAGTTATGTGTAATCTTCCAGCTATCTTGGAACTATCGGCAGTAGGATTAGCATCAGTCAGTTTTAGTTCAGAAATTTCCTTACAAAGGTTGTTCTAAATTGAAATTCAGTAGATATTGTGCTGTGAAAAGCTTTTTTTTAATGGTTTTTCGGTACAAATGGTGACATCAACTTTGTACCTCAGCTTTACAACATTTCTTTGGAAGATTGAAAGCCGATTAAATCGATATAAAACCGTAAATGTACTGTGATTTCGACGTACTCCTGTGGGATTTGTAGTAACATTTCTCGTAAATAAATTTCACATGAAAATCGAGTTCCAAGCTTTCAAAGACATGACGACTTTCTTTAGAAATTCATGCCTAAGTTCCTCAAAACGTTGAAGATAATGCCACAATATTTTATTTGCAAATAAGATTTAGATCTTACCTGATACTGGACAAGTTTCAACTTAAACGCTCCGGCTTGACAGATAACCGTCAGGATATCTCAACCAAAAATGAAAATCGAGTTTTTTACTGAAAATGCACACTCACGCAGGCAAAATATCGCAAAACACTAACGATAATCTCTTTGTTTAAAAAGTTATGCGATTATGCGCACGAAAAGCGAAACATATCGCTACATTTTTTAACAATTTTGACGCAGGTATTCACAAATAAACAACCGAATAATACGCGAATATAACTACCGATGACAGGGCTGCGAAACGTAGACAAAGACGCGTTGTCGAGTGACATGTAAACATTGACATCACCAAATGTTAACAAAATAAATGTCAAATGTTACGTGTAGTTTGTAAACTAGCCGCCAGTAGGGGTTCGGTCATATAAATTCACAGTTCACACAACACGATTCGCGAGTTCAAAGGTCCAGATGCCCCCGGTGGTTACAATTATAACTACAAGTTAAGCAGTAATTTGACATTTGTTTTGTTGACAGTGATGTTTACATCTGATTGTGATTTGTTGTTTTGTTCTAATCAACTTTAGCAAGATTTTAAAGAAACAGATCGAAAAGTGTGTAAGTATTGTTTTGTGTTATAAATGTCATCAACTCGCATAAATAAACAAGTCTGACAAGTCTCAACTGTCACTCAACAACGAGAAATTTGACGTTTTGCAGCAGGTTTGAAAGCTGATTATTACTGTATGCAATCACTTGTCTTTTTCTAAGGATGCAATAATGCCTGTATATGCAAAATTATCCGCAATTTACAAAAACTACTTTTAACTCTTTTTTCTGAAAAAATTGTTTGTTTGAAATGTGCCAAACGCGTATTCTTTACTTCATTTACTGATAAATTGCAAAATATCATGTACATTTCCATCACAAATATCATTATCAAAAATAATAAATATGAAATATCATTCAAAAGCAATGATCACACGAATAAAGAATATTAAAAAAAGGATAATAAAAAACTATGTAAAACTAAAGTATGTTTGCATAAACCAACGACTTCTGTTGAAATTGTTGATTAGTTTGCTCAATTCGCGAATCAATCGTGACCTTCCTAGAAAATAGGTGATTATTTAAATTAGGGTCTTTGCGCGGTCCGCTAAATGTCTCGAAATGATCAATCTTTGAATCTGAGATGTTCCTTCGTAGATCTGGAAGATTTTCGCGTCCCTCATTAGCTTTTCCACGGGATATTCACTGTTGAAACCATTTCCGCCAAAGATCTAAAGGGAACAATGCGTTATTATTCTACAATAATGATAATTATACCTTTCCAATGGAAAGATATCAATTTTATTTGTCGATCAATTGATCGAAAATTATCAATTTCGAACTGACGCGAAAAACACCTAAATAGAAAGTTCATTGGCTATAAAAAACATAAAAAATTAAATGACATTTCCAAAATTATGAATCCACATCAGAAATTACCTTCTTCTAAACATATGATAAAAATATTGATTTGTTTTTCCACTTCAAATTCCTGTTTTGAACTACATTTGCTCGAATTTCATAGAAAATGATCTCGGATTTTAAATCAACTGAACTATATTTTTTCCAAAATATAACTTGGCTTTGTTACTTCCATGTGCCTAAAATATCTTCTAACTAAACCTCCTAAATCTAGAACATTCAGAAAAATAAACCTTGAAATTTACATACCTGAACAGCATCAGTTGCACATTTATTTGCCATGTCAGCCGCCCATCCTTTAGCAATAGCGGCACTGTAACTGTTTCTAAGACCATTATCGGTTTCCCATGCTGCCTTCATCCACGCCAGTCGGCCAGTTTCAATGCCTGAAGAACCCAAATTAAATGGAAACCTGCAGCCAAAACCCCGAATGTTTTTGGCCCTTACCGATAGCCATGTCTGCTAACATAAAAGCCACAGCTTGATGGTTGATGATCGATGTGCCAAAGGTTTTACGTTCCAGCGCATATTTCGAAGCTTCGTCAAGGCACCTTTGCGCCAAGCCAACTGCTGAAGCTGCCACCTGATATAAAAATCCCCTTTAAACCGTCGTAAATATGGGGGTTTTAAAACTCACTGGAGGTCTGGTTTTATCAAACGTCATCATGGCAATCTTGAAACCTTCGCCTTCACTGATGAGAACGTTTTCCTTTGGAATGCGGACATCTTCGAATGTAATGCCGCGGGTGTCGGATGCTCTTTGGCCCATATTAATTTCCTATTGCAAATGAAAATTTATTTAGATCAATTTATATGCTCTCAAGGTGCAAACCGTTTTACAATAATGGAAAACGCGGATAATTTACCTTTCTTCCAGGTGTTACTCCGGGCCAATCTCTTTCCACAATGAACCCAGTGAAGGCTTTACTTGCTGGGCATTTTGGATCCGGATTAGTTCTCGCCAGAACAAAGTACCTATAAAATGTCCTCGCTTCAGAGTCGTTCGCAAAAAAAAACCAAAAAATGAGACTAACCAGTTAGCAACTCCGCCTCCAGTAATCCACATCTTTTGCCCATTAAGAACGTATTCGTCCCCCTTTTTCTCGGCCCGCGTTTTGAGACCGTTAACGTCGGAACCCGCTCCAGGCTCAGTAACGCCATAAGCAGCTACCAATGGCTCATCTATCAACCGTCCAAGGTACTTCTTTTTCTGTTCTTTATTGCCAGCTATTAGGACTGGAGTTTGCTGAAATTCCACAAAACATGTTAGATTCTGTATGAAATGTTCGGAATTCATTGGTTTGTATGTACACACTAAAAAGTTCCACAGGATTAAATTCAATTCAATTCCAAAGTATTTATTAAGACAATAAAATATAAAAATCTGACGTGCATCAGTTTAGAGTGTGGAGGGTGTAAAAATAAAACTTACTCCTAGTGAAGTTGCTTCTAAAGCTGTAGCCACTCCAGTACAGGCATATGCAATCTCTTCGATAACCAGACAACCATCAAAGACACCCGTCTCTAATCCACCTATAAAAATATGTAAATACTTATCAATTCGTTTAAATCTAAGAGGGCGACACCATCTATACAGAAAATAACGCAAAAATATTTGTTTTCGCGCGAATGCAAAAACATTCGCGCTTTTACAGTTGACAAATAATCTTTTATTTATGAGCGTATAAACGTTTGCTTACCAAATTCCTCCGGAATGTGAGTGTTTACCAATCCCAATTGATGAGCTTTCTTGAAGATATCCCATGGATAATTTCCCGTCTTGTCATATTCCGCAGCTACCGGAAGAACTTCTTCTCTGGCAAACTTTCTAGCAGTTTCTTGGAAATCCCTCTGAGTATCATTCAGCTCTGGAAATTTCATATAATTAGAGTTTTTTCAAAATAATTCACATCGCACGTCTCAGATGAATTTTGCAACTTCTGGAACGTTCTGTATACTCTAAACTCTAAACCAATGTGAATTTTCTTGCTCTCCAGCTATAGTTTTATTAATTTTTGTGTGACAATCATAATACCTACTGTTCTTTTTGCACTTACCGAAGTTATAGCCATTTGGTATAGGGCTGCTGCTGTAATTCTTGGAAGCCAATGGCCTAAGGCTGTTCCTTACAAGAATTTTTGCAAACTAGACATAAATCACTTGATAAATGAAGTAAACTGGACTGAATATAAATACAGTTATGAAAATTGGATGAAAATTAGCACATACCTGTGAAAATGCCATAACTCAGCCACCAGTTCAACTATTGTGGACCTAAACTTTGACTAGCAAAATATAATCACTGAAATGAACTTTGCTTGAGATAACCAAGACCCAGGACTGAATAAATAGGTGCATATAAAATGGGGAAAACAAAACGAATGACCCTTGGACTTTAGACCCGCACCATTTGAGGTGGCCGCAAAATTGACCGGATTTAGTTCCAGGTGATTTTATATTAACTTATAGCCACATTTGCAGTTGCAACAAAAATTCTCAGGGATGTTTAAAAGTTGAATTTATAAAAATAATTCCGAAACAAACTAAAAATTAGCCAGTTAAATTAGTTTTGTTGACAACTTTATTTTAAAATAACCTAAAAAGCAATTGTCAAATCAATTTTGCAAGTGCAAACTGATCTGATAAATATCATAGAAACCAATAAAACCAATTCGAATTAAAAGTAAATTTTGTATTTCAAAATTTGTGAATAAAAAAATTGAAAAGCTGCTTTTTTGATTACTTGTTCTTTATTCATAAAAAAATACTAACAGTTCTCAGGCCTAAATTTATTATTACCTTAACTTTCCTGAAACGAATGTTGTTTTTTAGTAAAATTTTTTAAAAACAATTTCTCCGAACTTGCATGGCTGCCAAATATATCAATCAATACAATAAGAATTTTGACGCTTTGAATGTCATCTGAGAGTTTTCGACAATTTCCAGCACGCAACCGGCTTTGCTGCACGTTTTTCATAAATTTCCACAAAATGAATTCAATTTTAAAGGCAGCGATCCGTTTAAACGGTATACGAACGGTTTTGCACCCCGTTAAGAATCTCGTATCTGTGTCAAGACCGCAGAATCAAATTTTAGCGGCCAGAAATCTATGGTACATGACTAGCATCCAATCGCAGAAATTGTCGGCAATTCACAGTAATTTGTGCAGTTGTGGCTGCGGTAGCAGAAAGGGGGTTCATACCAAAGGTAATGCCACTGACTGACCATAACAGAAACTGAAGATTTTAATTTTTTACTAGAAATTTCAGCCGAGAAGGAGCTGGTGGAATTCCTGACTGAGGAAATTTTGGCTGAGAGAAAAGCCCAGAAAGTCAAAACCATTCCTACCGAGATCCAAGGATTTACGGCCAGTTTAAATGGGGCAGAAGTCACATTAACTAAAAAGACTGACTCAGAACTGTAAGTCCTAACCTGGCCTAACCTTTAGTAAAACTCTCATGTTCATTTACTTGATAGAATCAAAATCACGTTCAACGTAAACAACTCGGTCGACACTGATGCAGAGCCAGAAGTGAACGAAAATTTGGATAAACCGGAGATAGGAGAACTGAAGTCCAAGCCATCATTTAAAGTAGATTTGGTACGTGGGGACAATACTATCAGTGTATTGTGTTCCTTTGTGCCCCCAAGTGAACAGGAAGATGGATACAGTAAGCGAACCCCAGTATGGAAAATGGCCAGTTTACTCATCCATTTACTTTTATAGATGATAGTTTTGGTATAGATGAGCTGAGCATCTACAGCGGCGAATGGAATGAGAATGTTTACTCAGTTTCAGGAGAGGTGTTAGATTCGGTAAGAGTATGTACATTTCAGATCCTGACTCATGCAGTTTCTTAAAAATATTGAGTGAAAGCTAATTAGATAATATTCTTTATCGTGCTAACACAAAACACCACACAGTCAGAGAATATCTTAGTGACAATATAAAATTATTTTCCAGTACCTCTATGATCTGATACTGAACTACTTGGAAGAAAAAGGTCTCACCAATGAGTTTGTAGACAAATTGTCCGAGTACAGTACGGCATACGAACATTCAGCGTATATCGGCTTGTTAGAAGGACTGTCGAAGTTTGTTGCTGGCAAGTAGGTATTTCGCATTATGAATCTTTCGGTTACATAAGCGTTACTATGTATTATAAAAAATTTAGTTTTAAGATAATCCAAACCGTTGTTATCTTTGGATTTCCTCACTTGTTTTATATTTTGAAAAATAAAAACATTGTATGGTAATAGTTAGTGTATTTTTGTCGTCCTCGAATAAATAGCGAGAGAATTAATAAGTTTTATTCATTATATGCACCCAGATAGAATCTACCTTCCCATATTGGAAAAATTGAAAGAAATAATAAATAGCGCTCTCGTCAGTCGACTGTTCTGCAGTGCATATCTTAGAACAAAAATCTCGTACCTATATTATCACATCATATTGTCTTTAACTGGCGGTTTGTGTGCTAAATACAAAGTGACCATACTACCTAAGGCGCTTACTAGAAATATCACGTCGAACCATCGGTGGTAAAAGTTGAATTGCAAAGCCCCTATAAATATTCGCAATCTATATATGGAATTTTAGCAGTAAACTATTGCTTACCTAATACTTGGGTGATTATTATCCTGTATTGCACTGGCATATTCATTCGGAGCAGTAAGACAGAGGAAACGAAATACATTCCCATTATCTGCGCCAAAAGCAATACAATGATATTGGAGCTTTTATTAGATGACATTCTGTTGAAGAACTAGATAAAGCAAATATTATTAATAATAATTACTAAATACTACAAGTTCTACCTTGGTTACGGTAAGTAAAAGTCCTCTAATCGAGGTAACTACGATGCATCCAATTAGGTAAAAAGATATTTGCTGGGACCAAAAATTTATATCAAAATCAAAGCCCATCCAAATCACAGCAATTTCAATGCCTCTTGTCACAGGATCTTTTTTTCCCACTCTATCAAACACAATGTTGATGGTGCACTGAAAATTTCCACTTGAATATTGAATATTCATGGCCGTGAAATGCTTACTATGATAATCTTCCATAGGCAATATCCAGAGAATATGTATCCTATAAAATTGAAATAGCTGCCTTTCCACGTTTTGGACCATTCTATCCGCATCAACATGTTGCGATTTTCGTGCACTTCCAAAAAGAGCTGTCTGCTCATTTCCTCCAAGCCATCGATTTCAAGTCGTAATTGATTTATATCTGAAGTAGAGTAAAAGCACCAAAATGTTAAAGCCATTAGGGGATACACAGTCGATAATCTGATGTTTTTCCAACCAGAGTTGAACTAAATAAACCAATGCAGAATTTTCAACCGGGAATTCCCTGATGTTGCATGCAAAGCTACGGTTTCTCAAGACATTAAAGCGCGCATTTTTAGGTGGATATCAAATATATGCGCATTTGAAACATATTTTCCTTCGTCGTTTTATTTGGTTATTTATTTAAAAATAAATATATTTACTTTCGTCGCTCTTATTTCCTGTAACTGATGAAATCATCTCCCAAATTCCCCGTTTGTTGCCCGAGTCCACTTTCATGTGTAACTGTTGTTTTCTCGCCATCACAATTCGTTTCTTCCTCAAAACGATCATTTCCATAGTTTGCATCAACCTCTTTTCAATGTTCAATACATCGGTTTCGGATACATCTCTGAAATATATCGCGAAATGAACCAGCCTGAATATGGTTTAATTCAACTATTAACCTCATGAAGAACTTCATGGAGGAATAAGGGTAGTTTACAGCTCCGAAGCCCGAGAGGAGAGCCATGACTGTGACTCCGATCACTCCTATTCTGGAAACTAGAGATTCGATGCTGAAAAATCCCTGATTTGGGTGGTCAATAGGAAATGGTTCGCCTATTTTCCAAAATACTGCCAGGAATATTAGCCACGTTAGAACGGTGAGGTGTTTGATATAATCAGGCCTGACTACAGTAGAAACTCAGTTAATTCGCTTTGAGGAGAACAATTTAAACTGGCTACTTACCATATCGGATATTGCTTATACAGTAATAGCCTATGTAAAATGGATTTAATACTATCACAACGAACAGCAGCAAGTAAAGCATGAGATACCAGTAGAAATATCTAGAGCTGCAGTATTAAAGCATTAATTGCAGTTATAAACTGACCAACTTTGGACTATTTACCTGGAGTCTAGAAATCCTAATATTTCAAATATAATCAGTTCGAACATGGTACAAGATAGCGTTAAAGTAATGCTAAAGATCAGTTGAACCAAAATGTGGCGTACTTCATAATCTTTGAATAGTTGCTTCATGAAAAATATCCATGCCCCAATGAAAAAAAGTACCTGAAAAAATCCTGGGTCAAAAGTGAACAATCCACCAATTTTAAACATAAAATTACTCAAGCTATAAAGTTCCATAATTAAATGAGACGCTCTTATCCGAATTAAATTGCATAGTAATAGAATGAATTAACATATGGGACTTTTAGGGCCCGCTTTCGTTTTAAATTGCTAATGCTTGCTTGCAAGAGTAACAAATTTCACCAAATGAAATAAAAAAAAAATTTTGCAGGTTTACTTTAATACGTTTTTAAATTTTGCTTAAGTGGTCGAGTATCAAAACAGAAGAATAGTAAATTCGAAACTAAGCCGACCGCCCATCGGACACACCAAAACTGCAATTCCGGAATTGACACTCACTAGTTATTCCGCATTTTTTCACTAAAACTACTTTATTTTAAGTGTACTTTAAGGGGAAATTTCCACAGCAAATCTCCCACAGGCATAAAATACAGGGTGTTTCCTCATAAGTTGACACCCCCCTGTATCGTTTATTTCAAAAAAATTGTGAAAGTGACTAACACAACAGTTCTTTAATTTTACTAACTTTGCTAATAACGAATTTGATAAAAATGACAAAATTTGACTTTGAAAGCCTTTTTTTGACGAAACCCTATATATTTTTAGCCATACCAATGGGTTTATTTGCTGATTACCAAAATATATATTTTGCCTATATTTTATTAGCGGTTTCTCCTATATTACGAATAATTTGAATAAATTAGAACTATCGAATAGTTTAATAGTTTTTATTCGATAGTTCCCATCACTACCTGAGACACCGTGCAGCCAACTTGGTATAATTTTCCCTTCAAACACAATAGTACAAAATGTGCCAAGACATGGCCTTATAAAAGGCACATATTTTAATTTAAAAACTTTTTATTTTTTTTTAGTTTTAGCTATTTATCCCCTACTATTCTTAGCACGATTGCTATAAACGTTTTCTAACATTAAGAAAGAAATAATAAGAGCGCAAAGAATACATACCTGCGAGGATAATACTACAGTGCTGTCGAACAAAAAAGTCATTTTTATATTTTCTAATATTGGGCATTACTGATTAAAAATATAGGTCTTCATTTACATTCACTATCTAACAAACAATTTACCTCTTGGCGTTTGTTTACAAATAGTTTGGGGTTAGGTTACACGTCATCTCGGAAATTAGTGACGTTTAGAACCTAGTGAAAAGGAGACCGTTCGAATATTATAAAATTACTAGGTGAATGCGCCCGTATATTCGCGCACGCGTCCGTCGCAATGATTCATTTCTGGAAGATTTGAGAATTTCATTAATAAAGAAAAAATTAACAACTTTTTCATGATCATTACTACTATCAAATTTTCACACTATAACATAACAGATCAAGTAGCCATTGACTTTTGACAAATGTCAAGTTATCGATGAATGCTGATTTATTGGTGTGTGTGTCCAATCTCAGAAATAGAAATTTTCAAAAGAAAAGAGCTTGGTGGTTTTTAGTGAAATTTGGTCTTCGAATGTGACACATTTGATTATCAACTCAGTTTTAAGCCAGCTTATCAAAGGCGCTACTTGCACTGCAAATAATTCGCTAAAATCTCCCTAATTTTTTTTCAAGTGAACATGCTAATGTCCATATAGCTGTTTTCTAATATTTTCTAATCAAGAAAGGTATAATTAAATCAAGTGTTCGAGAAATTGACAATTAAAACATTCGGTGCTATGCATTTATGAAAAAAACTGCTTTTATATGGCTGATAATAAGGACAATAATGATTTAATGAAAAATAACAATCTAATAAACGCACATAAATAAACCTAATAACACTATTAAAAAAACTAATCAGCTTTTACGCTGAATTTTTATTTATTTACAGCGAAAACGTTAAAAATGACGTGCATTAACTTAAATACATGTAATCACACGTTTATTAAACGAAGTATAGATGTTTATTCCTTACGAGTAAAATAGACCCTCAGCCGCTCCGACGTCTCCCACAAATTTTAGATTTGGCAAGAGCCTTTTTTAATAACGAATAGGAATGAACAAAAAGTTATGAATATTCTAAGCTAAAATTTATATCACTTATAAATTTTACAAACACTTTCAAAAAATGTTATAGCGGAATTTTTTTGAAGCAGAACTAAATTATTTATAGAAAATTTAAAAGAACGCTAAAATCGGGGGCATCTATACGGATTCCACTGTATATCCAATTTTTATTTTATAGTTTTAAAGCATGCGAATTTCTCGGTTACGGTTCAACAATAAATTGGACTCTTTAAAACATACGTTTCCGGTTTTAAAGAAACCATCAGACAAACGGAAACAATCAAATGTGTGAAATCGCTTTTAAACCTTGGAACAATACCTACGTTTTAAATTAGGTAAAAGTTTTAATGAGTAAAATTTGCAAATTTTGTCATTAATTCAATTGTTCTTTTACTAAAATGTGTTTCATCATTTGAGACATATTAATTGCCAACCTTCACACTCACTTTCAACAAAGGATTCTGATTTTCCTAGAAACTTCGGCTTTATGGTTCTAAGAATGGTATAAAGAATAATATTTCCCGGAAATATTATCAGCCTGAATTTTTTGTTTTTTCTTTTGTTGGCAGTTCCTTACCTAAGGTGAATTTATCTTGAAAAGGTGCGGCACAATGAATTCCTGCGGAAACTAAAATTTACTCTGCCCCACCCATATTACCCCATAATTACTTTTGCGTGTATTATTTGAAAAAATACTATTAAAATACATTATAAACATTAATTTTTAATAAAACATGTTTGATTGATGAAAAACGGCTAATTAGGCAATAAAACATTTACTCACCTGCTGAAAATGAGATGTGGAAAAAATACCAGCTCATTTCTTTTCCTGAAGACGCTTTATTGCATCACTTAAGTACATTAACATGAGTAAATACATAAATCGATTGTCTTTAACAGATACATTTATATACTAAGTACCCTTAAATATTCTTTGCACAAAAATAATTTGTTTCGTATCATAAAAAGAGAACAAGCGTTTTTTTAAATATTTTCAACTAATTAAGGCAACAAACCTGGGTGTTAGCCTATATAAAAACTAAACCTGGCTACGAGTAAGTGAAGCCCGACTACTTCACTTTAAATATATGATCTCTTTAAAATATCACAGTTGTACTACATTTAAATTAAAATTCACAGTGTACAATTTCTATATATTATATACTGCACATCCAAGATTATATGTTTGAATACAAATAGACGCTGGTTATACTCAATAAATGTAATTTCGTAATGTACCTATAGTAATAAAAATCATCGCTAATTGTTCAAACAATATCAACGACATAAAAGTTTCGCACCCGTGATCTGTTTAAAATCTGAAGCGTATATTTTGTACGAACGATTTTTGCTTAGAAACATATTCCACTGAATATTTGGTCAATTTTCGTGAATATTAAAACTATTTTTTATACACAGGGTGGTTCAGTTTTAAGTGTGTTCTCAATGCAAAGTCACTCTATCTAACTAAACGAATGGTAGATTGGCCTAGATGGATTTTTTACGGAAACACACTTTCAATCAACAGTTGAGCTGGTGCTTAAACTCAGACCACTCTGTATATAATATGCTAATGTTGTACAGTTTAATTAACAGTATTTTTGCATAGTAGGAAGTTGATAAAATCGAAACTAAGGGTTTGAAAATGTCAAGAAAAAAAGTATTTCTTTGATCTTTCATCATAATACAAAGAAATTTTTAAAGTAAAAAAATCAGATTAAGCTATAAAATATACAAAAATATATCTTTTTACTTTGAAATCAGTAGAAATACAATAAGGACTTTTTTCTTGCAAAATATTACCTACTATTCATTTAAGGTGAATCAAAAGTTAAAGTAACGTTTTAATAAAAAAATGTTCTTTGTCGTTTTACAAGGGAACCTATGCACAAACATTGCGCATTTGGAAGTTTTCGTCACAAAACGCTCCAGAATAAGTATGTGTATATTCAAATCTTAATATTCGGCTTATAAAATCTCGCATATTTTAGTAAACATACATAAAATCGATTACTTTACATTAACAATGATAGTAACATACAACATAACAACAAGATGGTCCACTGGAGATTTGCTAAATTCCTATAGTTGAATTTGATTTTTTCTCTGTGAGTTCTATAAAATTATTTAATTAAGGCTAAATCGTTAATGTATTTACTTATTTGATTTGAAATGATGAAATTGTTTAAAATGGTAACAGTCCTGACATTAATCTTTGGGTAGCTGCAGAATTTTAGTTGGTCATTCCGGAAAATGAGGGGATGTAAGCAATTAATCATCGTTTTGTCTGTATATCATGAATTATTATAAGTTCGCTCTACTGTGATAGAACATCTACCCGAAAATACATGACAAAGATATTTTAAATATAACTAAATTATATGCGGCCAGCAAAAGTTGAAATTCATTAACATTGACTAGTAACTATATTGCATTTCAGCAAAATTAATACTTACATTATTAGTGGAGAAAAATTGGCAATAAAAAACAGTTTATTAGTAGGTATACACTATTTCTTATAAACATGGTATTGGTCATTGCATTTGATTTGTCTTGTATGGTTTAAACGCCATTTAACGATCCAGAGCTAGTTTCAAAAATTCTTCTCTAGTCCTCTGATCATCTCGAAACACTCCCAACATGGTGGACGTTACTGTTTTACTGTTAATTTTCTGAACTCCTCGCATCACCATGCACATATGCCTACAAAGGAATTAACAGATATTTCAGCGATAGCAAATACAAATTATTATGTAAAATAAAATCTGTGTTTACTAACATTTCAGTATATATTAAAATTAATTAGTCTTTCTGAGTATTTTGATGATTATCCTTTTAAATGTATAGCATTCACTTTTGAAAGCGCGCCTGATAATTATTGTCGTTTCTAATTAAGCCACCGAGAATTACCTGATTAATACATACATATTCATTTAATTTGTTCTAATACATTAAAAACAAATTAAACAAACAAATGCTAGTGTTCTTCGATGGACAAACGCAGTCATATGTTCTTTCAAAATGTCTCTCTAATGGAAGCAGAATTATTATCTATTTACGTACGTTAGGAAAACTGACAATGAAGAAATTTACATGAATTTAATTGTAAAACATCTGCACAGATTCAATTTAAAAAAGAAACTAACACACTTCAAAGAGCTCCTTATTCGTCAAAAATCGGCAGAAAATCCGAAAGAACCGCCACTATTAAAAAATATTGGCAAACAGATCATACAATAACAACTACTAATTTTCCCGAGTCTATTTAATTCTAAAATAAATAAACTTGCAAATAAACGTTCAAGAATAATTGCTGAGAACTGACAAAATAATTTGTAATTTCTAGATTTCCAACTTCAGTCGATAGGAAATTTCCTGCCATTGCAACAAAACATATATTAAAATAATAAAAAATAACGAACACACTTTGCAATGAAGTTTCTCATAAAAAGCACTTTAATTTTTAGACGTTTGCCAACTTCTTTCAAAAAAATCGACAGAAAATCCCGAAGAACCATCACGACTAAAAGGTATCGACAACAACAAATAAAAATGTTTTCAGGTTGATTTACTTCTAATATAAATAAACGTGTACCAGGAACAATTGTTGAGACATTATTTGTAATTCCTAGCATTCCAACTTCAATCGAAAGCAAATGTTATAACTTTGCAAAATAGTAACAACAAACCAATTAACAATTACACATTAACAAATACCAAGCTTCCCTCAAGAGCAAGAAAACAATCTGTTGGATTGATTTTACTTACGTTCCTTCGATGATAACAGCAACACCATTCGGCTGTACAGCCTTCAGAACAGCGACAGCAATCTGCTTGGTCAGTCTTTCCTGCACCTGAAGTCGCCTAGAATATATTTCCACTATCCTAGCTAACTTACTAAGGCCTAGAACCTTGCCTGAGGGCAAGTAGCCAATGGAGACTTTGCCGTAGAAAGGCACTAAGTGGTGCTCACACATTGAGAACATTTCAATGTCTTTCACTACCACCATCTCATCATGATCTTCGTCGAAAATTGCGTCGTTCAAAACCTCTGAAAAAGCGAGTCTTTTCTACTAATGCGTTCATTAATAGGTTTATTTCTAAACTATTAGATCCAGAAGAGTTTTTTTATATTAATTTATTGATAGCTAAACAGGTTTGTTAAAGTTAGTCGGCTATAAATTCAGCAGCAAGTTCTAGACGATCGCACAAAGCCATAAGCTGATTCCAAGATATAAATTTCTCTAATGCTCATTTCAAGAATTAGGTCTGCTCGTCTGTGGCCACAAAGGCCTCGACGCTTTCAAGCTTAAACACCGGAAAAGGCCGTTTTCCTGTCTCAAGAGGAGGTTGGAAAATTGCTTTCCCGAGTTCGCGCAAATGGAAATTCAACGAAATTATCATAATCTGGTCTGAGTCAGGCTTTAATACATTAAACGGATTTATTCCTTCTGGGTTTGCATTGGTAGCAATTGCAACATGAAAGGACGATGTTAACGGTCATAGATGCATGTACTTTCTACCCAAATGCCTCTAAGGCCAACGTTATAATGAAAATCGATGCATGCGAATTTGCAACTTTTAATAGCAAAAGCCAACGAATCGTTGATTTATTAGCATCAGTTGTCAGTGTTTTTGCGACAAAAGTTGAAGTTATTTGAACTGGAATCGAATCAAAAACATTTTCAACAATGTGTCCACATTAGCATGGGAGCCTGAAAAATTGCCAATAACTTCCACTCCCACTTGTATTTGGGCCAATTACCGTAAAATTTGCATCAATTTATCCGAATTTACACCTGCTCCTGAAAAAAGTCAGTGAGTTTTTATTCTTGTGCTAATTTCTTCAACTAAATCAACAATTCCATCGATTTTCGCGCTAAATTTTGAAATTTTAAATGTAATTTCAGTTGACGTTGCAAGTGCAAAGCAAGTAATATTGAACATTTAAAATTATCGATTGCCCTTTTTTTAGATTTTGTCTCATTTAAGAAACAGTTTTTTCGCGACAAAAGTATTTCGCGTTGAAAGTATTTGAATTGGAAGCGTTTTCCTGGCAATTATTTCAACAGTGTGTAAACATTAGCAAGAAAGCCTGTAAAAATGAAAAGTACTTCCATTCATTCTTTMAATTTTCACGTTTTTTGGTCWATGACTGAAAAAAATCYAACAATTTATACACATTTACACCAACAACCGAAAKAAGTTATAAATATTCGGAACTTAAGTTACTTATTTAGAGCTCAAAATCTAAAGGTGCCAATTACTCTCACTAAATGAAAAATGTTATCGATTTTSGCAGTAAAACTTTGAATTCATAATGAAATTCCATTTGGGGTGGCAAATATTGTYTTGTGTGTATCAACTTGTAGTTTATTCGAATYAAACRTCTCTTAATTTAGAAAGTCGAAAATAYATTTTTTGCGGCCAAACTTGRAGATGTTTGAAGGGGCATAGTTTCTTTTGTAATCGTTTCAACAATGTGTCGAYGTTTGCCTAWAACAAGCCTGCTAATTTTTTTGRTCAATTCCTGTTAAAATCGCACCTATTTATGCACATTAASGCCACATTTAWAATCTAATAGTGCCAATTACTCCCACCGAATCAACAATTGCGTCAATTTTGGTAGTAAAACTTAAAGTCATAGTATACGCATTTTTTTTGTTCTGAGTTCATTCGATTTTGAGCAAAAACGCCTTCTGATTTGTGAATCAGTAGAGAACTTGTAAAATTTTTGTTTAGTTGGCTAAGTTTTMATTTTTAGCCAATTTTTATATTCACGYGCCTTGACAAAATAAASAAATTATCACATTTTTTGACTCTGCATTTATTGTTTGTTTCTAATAATATTCATGAYAATAAAAAAAACRGCGTTTTAAWKCCGATTATSTCAAATTTCCATTTGAATTTTCATTTCAATCTACTTATTTATTTAACTGTTTTTTCTRACATTTTCTTAAAACTTTTCTGGGGTTTTCACAATATTCCAATTATTATTTTGTATAATAATTGTTCTGGTCAGTTAATCCGTACACAACTCTCATTTGATTTAATTCAACCTTCTTTTTTTCTGGCTATTTYCTCCATATTTCTTCCATCAGTTGTCTATGGTATGACTTATCTAATCAATCGTATTGGAGTACTGAACTTGAAAAAAATCACTTTTGTCCAATTAGGATCAATCCTCTGGGATTCTGTGAAATTCCCAAATCGCTTCCTAAAAGTATAATTTTATCTGGTGAAACGTGCTGCATCCATAGAAACGCGACTTTTCCAGCTCTTCCAACGATAACGTTAGCCCTGTCATTTCCGAGGAAGAAAATCGCCTTAATTTTCCCTTTTACTGCCGTGTTCAGCTGGATTTATTTAAGTCAGGTCATCCATTATAAGGTTTTTTCCAGCATCACGAAATTTACCAAGGGACATATAGGAATAGTGTCAAACATTCATGGTAGAAGGAGATATTTAACAAACTGGTTATTTTCTTGCTTATACTGAGGAAAAATCCGGAAAATTCGGAAAAATTACAAAAGCAGAGAAAGAGATTTGGAGAGCGCACTGCCACTGGTCGATACTCATAGAATTTCAAATCGAGTTTCTGTCCTTATGTAAGGAAAACGGCTGTTCTCTTTGGTTTCTGGATATTTGCTCCTGAATGCCAGAGTCTTTGATTTTGACCCTTGCTATTTTCATCAAATTATTTTCTCTCGTGCGGCTATTGCGACTTTCTCAAAAAATCCATTTTAATGAATTAGTTTTCCACGCGTAAAAATCGAGTATTTACAATCACGCTGCAATTAAATCTCAATAAGTAAGGGTCGGAGGTCGATATTCCTGCAAAACGTGTCGCTCAGCAGGATATTCTAGGAGCTAATTCTGTTCTCACAAGGCCAATTAGTTGGCGCCTCCGGGAAATCAAATTATGCCACAGGCGTATAGCTTTAAACGCCCTCTTTGCCTTTCGCTGATTTGCCATTAAAACGATTCTTTGACTAGAAAACTTACATAAAGTGGGATTTATTTTTCTTTGGAAATAAGACCACAACAGAAGTTCCTTTGTGACAATTGCGACGAGTTCATTTCTATTTTTATGTTTTCTTTTAAATATTCGTTTAATGTTGCCCCTCTTCAACAACTTTTGTTTGTTTGCTCTGAAAAAGAGTTCTAAAATGTAATAACAATCTTTTTTGAGAATCGATCACAAATTGTTGAAATTCTATCAACGATCTACTTTAAAAATGAGTCACAAATCAAAGCAAATAAATATATTTATGAGCTTTTTTTAATTTCATTTAACAGAAGCAATAAATAAGTTTAATTGGCCTGCTTTGCAACAAAAAACGCAAAATAAAACCTTAATTGTCCCATTTCTAGGGTTTCATTCCCAATTAACTGAATACAGTGAACTCAATACGTAACATGAGATTCGATTTACTCAATACGCTCTTTTCATTTCAGAAAAGTATTATTTTTGCAATTTTCTGGATTAAAAAGAGTGTTAATTTTGAGTGTATGAAAGCTACAAATTGAGTTAACGGGTAGGTAAATATTGTAAAATTACATACAATCGATGAAAATACGTTTAATTTGTCCTGAAGTGCGTTGGTAAAAGCCTTTTGTGCTTATGACGTGATTCGGCCCTTTATAAAGGGAAATTTAACGAGGTTTTACTGCTGGAACATCCGTGTACAAGTTAGAATTTACTACAGTACTCAATTTTGTAATTCCATGTAAAAAAGCCAACGTTAAATGTATCTGAACATGCAAATGTAAAGTACTTTTATTGAATGCGGTGAATCAGTCTAGATAAAGACTAAATATCAAGGCAATACAAGCTATAAACACTTCTCATAAAGAAAATTTAAATAAAAATGTAAGTTACCAATTTTAAATGCAAAGCGGATTGTCAAGGCTTTGTTCATTTTTTTGCCGTTTAAATGCAACTGATTGGATATTGATCAATGAAATAATGCATTAGAGACTTTTTCATTTATGCAAAAATGCAATTTTTGAGCAATTCAGCGGAGCGGTTTTTGTCAAAGCATTGCACGAAATTGAATTTTTTAATTTCCATTTTTTTTAATTTCCAGGCCTTTACAACTCTCATGAATCAAATAGTTATGTAGTTTACACTCTCCTAAAAAACAACTGATTTACAATAAAATAACTTCGATTGATCTAATCGATGAATCATCGTGCTTTTTTATGAAGCTTAGGTAATCAGGAAACTGAAAAATAAGAAATAAAAAAGCAAGTTTTTTAGATATTATCGAAATTTATCAACTTTTCGCCTCAAACTCAAACGCCAATTTTTCCTGATTTATGTATCGCTAAATGGCCTCATTTCATATTTTCCAAGATTCCTGATTACTTAAGCTTCATAAAAAAATCTACTCTATTTTTCGATTAGATCTAGACTAGACTAGACTTAGACTATTCATCGATTAGATCAAAAGTTGTTTGATTTTAAAACAAGAAAAACCAAAATGTGACCCTGTGCGCCGCTCATTTTATTGCTTAACTAATTAAAACCTCCATCTATATGAAATTCGGGGAAAACATCAAATTTGGATGCATTTTCTGGGTTAAAGTCTGTTTTATTAGTGGTGAAAGTTGCGATTTTCAGTCATCATCAGGTAATTTTTGACGATTTTTCAAAATTGTCTTCCATTTCGGAGGTCCATTAATTTATTCGAAAATTCACGAAGTGAGTGAAACGAGTAGCTTTTCTATGCAACTACTAACTAGAGCAAGGTCTGTTTTATCAGTGGTAATAGTTTCGATTTCATCATCAGGCAATTTTCAAACATTTTTTCAAAGTTGCATGTGGTTTTTGCTGATATATTTATTTAAGCTATGTTTGACATTTATTTTGGCGGATCTTGGCGAGTTTGAGAGTCACATTTGAATCACATTTGTAGGGCAAAGTTTTCCCTAAATTGGGAAACGTTTTGGTTTTGATGTTCCTTCGGGGAATTTTCAGGCATAAAAAAAAATTTTGTGTTTTGCGTGTGTTAATGCCGGTCGGAGCTGAACGGTTTTTTCATCAGAAATCTGTAAAGATAGAGAGTTACTTTTATTGAGTGGTTGATTTACTTTTGCATTTTGTAGGGCAAAGTGCGTTATGTAAAAAGAAATCCATCCTTAGGCATAAAATGGCTTGGGTAAAGTATCTGAATGTGCCTTTTATTTTTGAAGTCCCTCTTGCGAGCCTAATTTTGATTCAATAAAAAATATAGAATAATCAATAAAGAATATATTTTCTCAATAACAAATAATTCATAACATAAAAACATATGATGAAACAACTTATTTTTTTTATTTTAAATTTTATGAAATCTATCCGATAGTTATTATAGATTTAACGCTTTTTCCTGGTATAATTGAAAGTGAAATTCACTGGAACTTTCACAATTGTAAAAATTAATTTAAAGAACCTGGGCATATTTTCGCCCAAAAATTATACTTTTTAAAAATATTTAAAAAAAATGGAGTGAGGTTTCAGGAGTGAAAATTTGAATACGTCGTATCTCCGCAACTGTTAAAAAGATCTCATTAGCCTTTCTAAGAATATTTTTAGACCTCATATCAACCCAATTTTTGGTCAATTGGGTGTCATCAAAGATTCCTAGTTTTTCATTGAGATGGAAGCAAAAACTTTTAAATTTAGAAGTTCCAAACACTGTATATTTCAGAAACAGCTTGAAATATTCAATAAGGCGTAGGACCTTTTGAACCTTGACCAGAAACTCCTAACCGGTAAAAAGAGAGAAGCAAAAATAAGCGATTTAAAATACAAAAAAACATTTGACTCATACGGACCATGTGGATAAGACTATCTGAAGGCAATCGTTTCCTTATTAGAGTTGTAGATTTCCATTTAATCAAAGATCATGGAATATTTGATAAAGTGCGATAAAGCACCTTAAGAACTGTCTGCTGCTAATTCAGTTTTGCCGGGAAATTTTCACTTTCAATGAAGAAGAAGGCGTAAACGCTAACATTCAATTTAACATTTCCATTAATTCGATCGGTTAATTTCGCCAGTGGAATGAGTATATTTGGGAAAAGTTATATTTCTTAATAAAGGTGGCAACAACTCGGGAGCCTCGATTATACACAACAAGCACAAGGGTTTACTCTCAGCGTACCAAAAAAATGTTTGGTTCAAAATATCTGGGTATTCGCAAGATTGATATGGAGGTATGATTAAATATATGATATGAACAATACGAGCTTTTCATGTTGGAGTTTTTAAGAATCTTCAAATTATCCCCAAAAAACTTAAACTTTGTGAACTTGCTGGTTAGACTTTGTAAACTTTGCAGGGACAGACTTTTGCTCAGTTATCAATGCGTAAAACACGGGCAAAAAAATATAATAACTAAGTTAAACAAATAGAACAAACGTTTGTGTCTAGTCTCGTGCTAAGTCTCGGTCTCAGCGGGCAAAAAACCGTCAAGTAATTAGTTTTGCGAATTTCAATCAATTAACGAATTAACTACGCCCGCATTAAAAGTTGGATGTTTTGTCCGAATATTGGTAGTTGCTAATTAAAACTCCTAATAATTTTTGCCCTACAATTTTCGCTTGAATGCGTCCTCTATTCCTACAAAATCGTTCATTGAGTTATCGCCAAACAATATGAGTGAGTGAAATGTGTCCCGGTGAGTGGCTGTGACTAATCCATCAAAGTTTTACGATCGGGTGAATGGGACGCACTGAAATTCCATAATAAAATCCTTTTATGTCATTAATTGCTGTAGGTTAATTACGGTTCGGACTTAATAATAAAAAAGTAAAAGTTGTGCAACCAGCTAAGATTGATATTTGGTATCGATATACTCAGTTGATTTCCACGATATTCATGGTTTGTCAAATCAAATTTTCCTGCAACACTTACCTTCTAAGTTCTGGTCGTATCCTTTGGTGAAGAACAGCATGGCCTTTGCCGCCCTTTCAGGCGTCTTCAGCAGCCCTTGACGGTCTGGATTTTCACCAAGAGAACCCAACAGAAGCCGATACGATCTGGACATTTCCGGCAACATTGCCTCCCGTGTTGGAGGTTTATGGTCCAGCTCTAGATCGTGGTGAAAAGTGCAGTTTTCATGACCTGCAATTGAAAGGTCAGCTCTAATTACTTCGATTCAAGGCTGCACCTGCTCATTAATGAAGCAATGAAAAGGTGTTCAAGGTTCTTCATCACTTGCGATCTGCATACCTGGTGTTGTTGATGTTCGAGGAGTTTTCGGTGTTCCTGGTGCTTCCACATCATCCAAATGGTCCCACGTTCGTTGTATCACTGCATGAAAACTTTTGTTTTTTTTGGTTGATTGGTTCTCACTGTTGTTACAGCTTGACCCATTGGTTGTTGCCATTCTAGTTCTTCTAGATCAGCGGTTTGCTTCTAAACATTCTGGTTTATTAGTGGGTATTTATTAAATTATTAAAAAACCTTTCTTAATTCGATGATTTGAAAAAATAATTATTTTTTCACATTTTTACGGTCGAAATCTCGAAAACAGCTGGTCTGACATTTTTGGCCCAAGATACATTTTTTGTTCAGTATTGATTTGGAAACGAAATGACTCATTTGAAATATTCGTATACAAGGTTATAATAAAACTGGAGCCAATTGAATGCAAATCTTCCATAACAGGAGGTTTTAAGTAACATATTTGAATCTTCCTCTCGCGAAAACATCCGCACTCCAAAATTTGCACTTCCATTTAAATTTGTTTTAAAAAATCACTTAGTCCTACTTTCGGTTGAAGAGTGTAAAGCATTGTACGCGATTTTAAGGACACTCTATGTATGTTTTACATGCCATACATTTTACTTTTCTGAAAACAGTAGTTCAATGGCGATTTTAACATTACGATATGTAAGATTTCCACAAAAACCAGTTATATCTGAATGAGATCGATGTTTTACCACTTTTCAAACCAATGATCAAATCTCTCCCTTGAATAGTTTTGCAGATTTCAATGAAATTGGCACCCGAAAAACACAATTTTCTTATGAAATTTTGACGATTAGAACAAAGTTGGGAAGAATTCTAGTATTCTAATTTCTAACATGTGTTATATACAGAGTGTCTCACTTATCTCTAAATTGGCCAGTGACAATTAAACTCTTTCAGCCTTTAATTATTTAATTAACCATTAATTTCTGCGAAACCATTAAAGATTGTGCAGTTTAAAAAGTAGATATTGCTATAATATTTTGAAAATCTGGCGATCTACTTGAGGATCATTAGAAAATTAAGCGTAGTTTTCTAAAATATATCACAAAAGTATTTAATTTCGTAATTCTAGCTCGAATTATGTAAAAATCAAACATCAATTTGATGAATAGCAATAAAAAAATTGAATTTGCAGAATGAATCGGACGGAAATCTATTTAACCTTGCAGATATTTTCCATAAACAACTGCAATTGTAAAAATTAAATAAACAACCGTAATTGCAAATGAAGTTTTTTTCAGAAAAATCAATTATCGATTGAAACAGAATTAATCTACAGGGTGCTCAAGTTTAAATAGTGAACAATTCAACAGTACTATGTATTTGGCGATTATATCGAAACAATGTACTTTTTTTATCAGATGGATCAAAGGAAAAATATTACACAATGATGAACAATTTTTTTCTAGCCCAAATTTGAGACCATTAATTTTTTAAGGCATTTAGCAGTTTAATAAAAATATGCCTATCACTTTGATGTAGAAAGCATGAAAGCTGATCGGATTTTAATAAAGCAAAATTGATGAAGACTATGCATAATATTGTTTGAGGAGATAAACTGTGGATTGAACAAAAGATGCGATACTTGCAAAATAGTTGCATGTTCTTAATTTTCGTATCCTCTTTGGTTGGCTCTCTACAAGTCAACCAAGTCTGTAGTCAACAAAAACAATCATGATATTATGCAACATTCAACAACTTTTCAAAATTAGTGCAAGAATAATAAAATTATTTTATGGAAATAAATATAATTTTCAGTTCATAAAATGTCAGCAACAAGTAGCTACTCAAGAATTAAAAAAAAAACAGAAATAACTCATCAGCTATGAGAAACTCGGGAGCTTCTAGTTCTTGTCGGCACAAATCAAACGGTGGCTAATTAACAATAAACAAATAGTGACAGTTGCAAGGTTACCTTTTGTTAACAATATCACTACCCAATAGCACTGGATGGAAGAAATCACGTGCCGGATGAAGTCGCGATATGAAAGTGCGCGTTCCAACGGAACACAAGCCGAGATCGAACTGGTAAGCGCACTGTCGGCAACAGAATTATATCCCAAAGCCGATTAAGTTTCCCTTCTTGGGGAAGGTGGATGGATTGACTTGCTGAATTGCCTTTAAATCAACCGGGATGACTTTCAGCGAGACTCAACATTCTGGATGCAACAGGTCCAGAAGCCTCAGGCCATGAGCTTGGATCATTGAAGCAGCAGAACAACAGGAAGCGAAATTATGAACCGTAAAAAGTACATTTAGATTATGGAATGTTGACAATTAAAGAAAGGAGAAAAAGATAGTTGTCAAAAGCTCTGAGGCCATAGGTGAAGAAGCACGCTTCCAACATTTTTCAAGTCGTGATGTATACAGGTTTAAAATCTATAATTTTTCAACATTCCGATTGATTATATGTGCAAATGCGGTTACATATGTTATGCTTCAAATTGAAATATTAATTAACGCTTCCTTACAATTATGTTTGCATAAAATAAAATTGAGCATCCACCTGAGGATCAGCTCTGTAACACAGATTTTATTTACACAAGCTCGTGGGTCTGCTATAACTTTCAACTAACATCATACAACACTCTGTATAGGCGAAAGCACGACAATTCCAACCAATCAAAACATGCAAAAAGTTGCTTCGAGTCAAACTTACAAAAATTAAGTTTTTCAAACGTTCTTGTATTCATTAATTGGGTAAATGAAAAAAATAACGAAGTGAAAAAAGCTAATTTAGTTTATTTGTGTTATATTTTAATCAGGCGGTCCCATTGTGTTATTCATGGGAAACCAGACATGTATGTTTTGTTTCAGCGCTATTTATGCGAAAATCAAGGTTCACAATCACTATGAGCATTTTATTAGATTAAAAGTAACCATCAAAAGAAGGCAAAAGGATTATTTTAATTGATTACTTTTTATTACTCACAATTTGAAACAAAGTTTTTCTGACGCTTTAAATATTATTCCTGACTTTTTTAAATTTTACGGTCAAAATCAAATATTAATAAGAGCCTGTACATCTATAGCAATGCGTACAATTCAGAAAAAATATTTTTCACATGCTCATAATTGCCCTTTGTAACCTATAATTTAATTTATTTAAATGAATATAAGGCAGAAGAATAATAAAATAAATAACATGGAACAACAAAAGATTGGGAGGCAGTAGGAGAAAATAACTCACCAAAACTTGTAATGGGTGTTTTATTTATTACGTTTATTCAAAAAATTGGCCAAACATCTCAGATCGTTCAAGAATGATAACGCCAAAAAAGTTTTCAGATTCTATTAATTCACTCAGTTAAAACGGATTCCTTGTATGTAACTAACAGCTTTACATGTGATATAAACTAGGCCCCAAAAAATTAAACGCCTGTTTAATTTATATCGTTCACATTAATTTCCTCAGAATTAGAATATATAATCTGCCCAATTTGCATATGAATTGATTTAAATTATTTGTGCAAATCGCCGGCGAAATTTTTTACGTGTTTGATGAAACTTTCAAGCAACCTTCTTTTGTAGTTCAATAGATGGGCTTAGAAATGGAAATATGAAAGAAAACACCAGCATGAATATTCAGAGAGTGTTAATCTGAAAAATCAACAGCTTAAAAAATAGACCACTTAAAGATTATTAAACTTCCATTATTGATCTTCGATCTAGGAAATTAACATACTAAATTGACGAGGCGGTGAAACAAACTACTTAGAGCTTCAAGCACTTTTTTAGCAAAGTGCATTAAAATCAGGGAATTTCCCTACTTATTGAACCGAACAATGGAAAACTACCTCTAATAATTGTTATTCTTTAAGTCTGACTAGGATTAAGCATTCTCCGTAGCGTCAGTGAAATTAATTGAATCCAACCAAACCACAACAGAAGAAGAAAAAAATTATCATTTACAAAACAAATCGATTGATGCAAATATTCCTAATAACACAATAAAGCTAGTGGTTAAATGGTGCAATGTTGAAGTGTGCTTGTTCAAAGACAAGGTCTCATTCAATCAGTACGGTTGATCGCGCTCCAGCCTTTCAGGGTTACGCCACGCTCTGCAGGATGTTCTTCAAACCATGTAAAAGACCTTAAATTGAAGACATCACGTACGCCACTTTTTCGTTTTGACAAATTTCGATATTCGCAATAGAATTGATGGGGAAATACATATAAATAAATTTGGTAATCGACCAATTGATACCACAAGTTGAACTTACGCCTATTGAAAAAATCACAATAATATTGTGGTCTGATATTATCAAATATAATTTTGAAGGTTCGGTGATTTTTTGCATTTTGAACCGATCTAGCTCTGAGCTGATGATACTTATTAGTCATTTATTAGGGCGTGGATATTCTTCTTCTTTTTCTTCAGTCTTGAACGACCCCTCCCCCTTGTGATGGGTTTATGTCGACTAACAATAATTTTGCAATAAAGCTGGATCCGCCGCTGCTCAATATGTATAATATTCAAATTTCTCTTTCTGGGTCAAAACTACTCGAATTCCCTTACTCATGTTGTTATGACTCAATCGAGATTTCAATTCTCTATCCAACCATGCCTAAACGAATTATGTGGCTCAGATGGTTCTTGAGAAACTTCGCAAAAAGCAGAGCCATGTTTGAGTCGATTTTGCAACTCAAAAATACCACGCAAATGTAAAACTTCTTGAAATCAAGACGTTTTTGAGACAACTGCCAACATCTACTAATCGATGGTTCAGTTTCTGAGAAGATCATTTAGTTATCTCTGAAATGATGCCAAAATGAGCGTTCTTGCTCATTTTGTTTCCGAGAAATGTAGCAAAAACGGAACGGAAAACATGAGATTTTTGCATAATATTGCATCTAAGTGTCTGATATTCAAATTTCGCTTTCTGGGTCAAAACTACTCGAATTTAATTACTCATGTTCTTATGACTGAATCGAGGTTTCAATTCTCTATCCAACGATGCCAAAACGAATTTAGTGGCTCAAATGGGGCTTGAGAAACTTCGAAAAAAGTAGCGTCATGGTTGAGTCGATTTTGCAACTCAAAAATAACACGCCAATGTAAAACTTCTTGATATGAAGACTTTTGGAGAAAACTGCCAAAATTTACTAATCGACTTTCTGAAAAGATCATTTAGTTCTCTCTGAAATTATGTAAAAATGAGCGTTCTTGCTCATTTTGTTTCCGAGAAATGTAGCATTAAATTATACAAAAAACACATTAAACAAAAAAACAACAACGAAACATGTATGGAAAACACCAGCTTATCTAATTTTTTTCCTGATGAACTTTTTCAATTAAACACCATTCAACCTCTGCGTCTCAAGCTGGACCATGCTGTATACAGGAAATTAAAAATTAAACCACCTGATTCATCAAAGTCCCATGTATAGCTCCTCCTTAAAGCAATTGATTGATTACTTGTAACTTTCGGTGAACCAGCAAAACCAAATGAATCAAATGGGTAAAGTTAAAGAAAAACCCCATTTTGCTGGAACAGATCATTCAGTATTTCCCGTGAATTGTTTGAGCAGCTGCTTCAGATTATGATTGTTTGGTTAAATCCTTGCGTGGTAATTTTTGAGAAGTAGCTGAAGAGGTACGCATCAACCAACCAAACGTCGGTCCATTAATAATGACTACTGCTGATAGTTGCACTTTTGCTAATTATTAAACTAATTAAAAAAAAAACTGTTATTATCGATTTAATGTCCAATTTATTTTCGTTGAAGGCTCTATTAATAAAAATTGGTTTGGGTATTTTTTTCGCCCAGAATGCATGATGCAACATTCCAAGTTGTTAAACACACTTGAAACATTTTTGGGAGCAACTTTTTCAACATAATTCAATTGCTTTTTTGAAAAAGTTATTGCAATAGACCCAACCATTAATCAAAAAACTATGTTAATTAATTTTCTTTAATTCAATTTTAATCGGGTTATTCAGTGTAGTTTTTCGGTGCTAGTGGCGCAATCTCACTTGTAAAATCTACAATTCCTCGTTCATCTTAGCAAAGTATGTATTTAAAAACAATAAAACTTATTCGGTGTCATTGAAACGAGGAAAAAACAAACACGTGATACGGATATTGCTCTTACAAGCTACGATAATGATCTGATTAAGGTTAATGATAATAATTAAGCCAGGAAAACACAATTACCTGCCTCTGTTCGGATTGGAATTTTATTTTTTATAATTTAGCAAGATCGCAAAAAGTTGAGAAAGAACGTTCACTACAGGATAAGGATATGGCCAAATCGGTTATGATGCAAATAGAAAGAAACGCCGATAAAGGTGCACATTGTTTCTGCAGATCTACATACTATTTATTTAATATATTAGAAAGTGTAAACGTTTTTTCATGTGCAATTTTTTATGTTGTAATTTACTTTGATGTTTTTATTCTGTCTATTTTAATATTTTATGTTTTTGGTATTATCAAACCCGTCTGATGTAAGTAGGTACAGATGTGAAAATGTGCTAATCTCAGGCAATGCTCAGGCTGTTTAGCCTAAAAACAACACTCCCGAAATCTCTACCTGTATTTTACACGGTTGCAAGTTTTCATTTGCATTATGCCCTTGTTTGGAAATATGTTGGGTGTTCATTGGCCAAATGACCAAATAGATAAAGCGCCAATGAACATACACAGGGTGATTCACGATGGCGTCGAAACGAAGAACGCAATTCACGATCATTTTGAAAATTTCTGCCACTATGAAATCGGCTTCTCGTAATATGCTCTATGGAGGCACAATAGTTTCAGCCATGCATCGTTGCCGTGTATATCAAAAAGTACCTACAATTTCGATATTTCAAATAAGACACCCTGCATATTATTGCACTTTTGATATGCTTTATAATTCTGATGATTTTGGCTTGACGATTCCCATGCCTGAATAAGGATTTCCAAAATATCAACTAATATTCATATATTTTTAGTTAAAACATACAACCAAGAAATATTTTATTAGAACATACGATTGTTAAACATTTTAAACTTTGGGTCCAGATGCAAAAGGCCACACTTAGGGCAATTTGTGATCTTCTGGCTACTAATAAAAACTACTCCAATTGCATTTTTTTTATAAATCATCCTGTATATTAGTTTACATTCGGAAAGACCAATAAATTCCCTATAAAATAAAATATCATGTTCCTACGCCTAAAACTGAAATTTCAGGAAAAAATGGAAATACGCATTTGCAAAAATTCGATTATTATTACATTTTGTGGCCTTCTTTAACAAATGTGTTTAACAGTGTGTTTCATGTTTAGGAACAGTATATTTTATTTTATAGGTAATTTATTGATCTTTCCGAATATAAACTAATAAACAGGCTAATTCGTTTCAAAAAATTCAATTAGAGTCGTTTTCATTTGTATCCAGAAGATCACTAAAATCAAGAAAGACTGAATAATTAAGAAAAAATTGATGTGAGACTTAAGCACAGGCTTCCTAGTACAGAAAATCTGTTAACACGACTGTGTCATCTGCATATCTTACGTTGTTTACCTATTTTGCAGCAAAATATGAATATGATTTCAGATGGTTCAGAAACTCTTTTAATTTAGTATGGGAATCGCGAAGCAAATCAGATTAATAAAGCAACCTTAATCGTGCACCATTATACAAGGTGTCTCGTTTAAAATATTGAAGTTTCACTACTTTCCAACATAAATAGCAGCGTCGCATTGCTTAAAATACTTTCGGTCAATGAAGCAAATCTGATTACTTTTCAACTGTTCAGATATCGTTCATCAATTTTTCTGTATTTAATACACCACCGATCGTAACTCACCCTGTATCATGTCACCAAGCTTTCTGCCTCCAATTTATTTCATGTTTGATTGTTATTTCATTGTTTCTAAGTGCAAAAGTTGTTGATTCCTAATCTTCTATTTTTTGATTGCTTCACATCATCATTATGCATTATGCAAAACCTACCATCTACATAGGCTATAAATAAAATTGAGCAAAAAACCGCGTCTTGCGTCAGAATGAAGCGTTGAAATACATATCTACTACTAATTTATAGGGTATTTGCTTTATAAATCACCATGCTCAAGGCAAGGATCTAGATCTTGCCCGATACGACTTTGATCAATTTTTATATAAAATTGTTCGTGATTCCAGTTCGAAAAAAAAACAATTACTAATTTACTTTTATAGCAAATTTTTATATTGCATGTTGAATTAGTTCGTTAGCAATAATCCACTATCATTTTTTTCAATTACAGTATTTTCCGGTTTGTTTTATCAAACGCCCAATGACAGTCAATAGTACTTACTTTATGTAAGAACAATTTAAGTCAAGGTTAATAGTAAAATGCAGGTACTGCATTTATTTATGAATTAGTCGCTATTAATACACCTATTCTGTGTCATTTGAAAATTCCAATAGTCAACTAAATTATTGTATAACCTAGATTTTTCTTCGGCAAAAAAACGATAGTCGTTTATTGAAAATAATGGTTCAATTAATGGCCTTTACAGGATACGGATCTGATCGACCGATATGGAACAATTTGAACCAAAATTTTTCGCTATTGTTGGGATTTCACATTACTTACCAACGCTCTGATTCAATACAACAGAATGTTGCATAATGCTTCCTCTTGCCCTCTTGTCATTATTTTTCCTAATTAGTATCAATATTTGGGATCTTTTATAGTTGTTTTGATATCTTTGGCATAACAGGTTGTCGTTATTACGTCGGGGTTTTCAGCTGAGGGTCTCATTTCAATAAAACCCATTATTTAAATTCCGATTTGTATATGTTGACGGTTCTCTGCTTCTCGTTTCAGTAAAAGTAGCATTCGACCAAAATAAAAAATCTTATCAAATTACTCGGGTTCTAATTATTGCCCTCGCAGATAAAAGTTCGAAGCTGCTAAATCCGGTGATTTTGGAGGCCAATAAGCAGACACTCATCGTTACTTCACTCAATGTTATTTGAGTGAAAAGGCTTTCACCTTTTGCAAAGTCAGAATGGTCTGTGAACGGTTCAAAAGTTTTCTTGAAAGCTTGGAAAAATAATCACAATTTCGATTACTAGAAAAAATTAGCATCATTATTAACAGGTAGTTTGCAAACAAATTTGAATATTGATGTAACTATATAATGCGTTTTGCATGATTCTTATCAGCAAATGTTACTCTCCAGCAAGTATCGGCTTCCTATAAACGAGGTTACCAATAGTTTTTTCATCGCAAAAAAAATCGACTAGCCACTTCACGAGCAGATTTCATTATTTCACTACTACCAGTAGAGGAAAAAGTTATTCACCTTAAATTGACTATGATGCAGCCTTGAGAAACGTTTTTGCTTGCTTTTGTTTGGACTTTTGCAAATCCGGAAGTCGAAGGAGTGCACAAACACACAAAGTTTTTTAAACTGCGTTTCAGTTTTTTTCAACCGTTACAAGGTATTATTAAAAAAAAAAATTACGGAAACCGGAAGGTATTGAACATTACTTTACATACATACAATTACTTCCCACTATTTATACAGGATGACCTAATTAGTTTCCTTAGGAAGTAGGATAGCTAAAGTGTGTATGGAAATGTGCAAACCCGAAGAGTATAAATTGTGCTTCACTATTTCTTTATATTAACTGGGATCCTCTATATCTCAGGCTTTGGACAGGGCGAGAGAAACGAATGTGGCGAGTGACTGTTGTAGTTCTGCACAGAAAAAGACCTGGTAAAATTGGTACTAACTTTGTTAAACTAACCAAAAAATAAACACCGTAGCTATTCAAAATCACATGGAGTCCAAACTCATTATTAGGAAAGCCAGAAAATGCATCAAAGTAGTAAAAACATGCCCCCGAAATTTCATAACTTGGGCAACTTAGTAGTTATTGAAAACATTTCTACTATGCAATAGAAGATGTGTTTTTTTAATAATATATATAGGAAAATAGAGGGTTAAAATATAAAAAAATACCTGTTAAAATTTTATATATTTAAGCAAATTTTACATTTTTTAAAGAGCATTTTGTGTCAATGTGGGATCTAATACGAGCACTCTGTATTAATTTCGATTGACTTTAAACTAATTCGAATAAACATTAGAGTGAATAAATTACGGAAATATTGAATGTTTTTCGAAAAATCATTTATTGTAATTTTAAAATTTACAGACAAAATATCTATTTACATAAAAACGACTCTCCAAAGGAAGTGTAATGGATTGGAGTTACAGATTACCTATAAGACATTAGCGGTAGAAGCGAAAAAACTTCCAGTTTCCCTAAAAGAACGGAAAACCGTTGAGAACTCGAAAGAAAACGCCATCAGCAGGGCATGGTTAATTTGTGACGTATTTAAGGTAATTGATGGACGAAAAAAGGAGTATGTGGGTGTAACGACTAGATGGAAAAGTCATTACCTACATTGAAAATAGCTCGATTCGGTTTTCCTTTTTTCCCGGTGATTTATTCAGAGGTTCAATTGTTTATTTTAAAAATTGTTGCAAGGAGGATTTGAAAACAGCATTTGGAAATCTCTCTGAGAACTCTTGAAATCGAGAAAAGCCGAAATTATCACATTTCACGGCACGCAGACGGGACGTCCTGGCATCCAGCTCTATTTCTTCTTTTTAAATCGTTTAGTTCAACATTGTCTTTCGCCGGTATTAATTTTAGTTTTTTTTTTAAATAAAGCATATAAACACTTTGGGAATAATGATGGATAATGAAAGTGATAAAGTGAATATTTGTCAAAGAACAGAATGAAGAGAATAAGCCACGAAACTGCGGAAAAATGTAGTTGCAAACGACTAAAATGTTCTAGTAAATGAAGAAAACCGATCTAACAGAGCCAAGGGATTGGTTTATAATGAGCAAAATCCTTCTCACTTTATTGTCCGTGCGTTGAAACACGATCAAATACTGAACTTGATTCTCGAACCAAAAAAGTGCAAATCGGACGAGGGCTTCGCCTTCTTTCAGGCTCCTGAATGTGTAAAAACGTCAATTTCCGAAGCGAGGGCAAATCTGCAATAATCCTAATGACCTCTTCGATAGCCAATCTCAAAATTAATTCTTTGCCAATTAGGTTTCATCAAAAATTCATAATTTCCAAGGATATACAAACAAAAATGTCCAAATTTGGGGCTGATAAGACTTTTGCGTCATAAACATACGTCCAGATTTTCAAGATACGACTTTTTGAAATCTTCGAATGATAAATCGTTTTTAAGCTAATCCTAAAAAACGTTTCAACAAACATTTCACTTATTTTATTGTTCATTTGTTGCCAATCAAATCAAGCATATGAATGCTAATGAATCGACTGCAATTACAAATTTAGATTAAAAAAGTGTAAAAAAGTTTAGCACACGTTTAAGAATATTTTTTGGCTCAAAAAGGAAATATCTTGACAAAGAAATTGCTGGTTTCGAAAGCAATAAATTAAACAGTTGAGCCCCTTGAGTACGCCCCATATCGACAGTGAGGAGTTGATCTAAAAGATGCCTAGTTGTTTAGCACCAAAACTGTGAAATTTCATTATAATCAACTGAAGAGTTTTTTTACCAAATAAAAGCAAAATTAATTTAATTTAATGTAATTAAATATTGTCTTCGCTTTTTTAACGATTTTCTAAGTTTTTATAGCAAATTAGTATTCTAAGCGAATATTCCACCTCAAAAGTGAGCTTTGTTTGAATACACAATGGAATTAATAAATTTTATTTAATTAATAAAAAAACGTTAGTTTGATTAAAACATTGTAAATAAATGCATTGATAAAATGCAATTGAAAATATTTTCAATCCTCAGCTTCATCTAAAGTTCTAAACATCGATAAAATGACTATTTTGCTTTTCCATTATTATACCAGTAAATGTTGAGACGCATTATGAAATAATCTGGACACATTTGCTTAGATCCTATCTACATAAATTAAGGCAGCGTTAAGCCAATAATACTTCCAAATTAATTAAAATCATCGTATATTTTCTGGGCACATCCTATCTACATAAATTAAGTAACGCTGCCAATAATACTTCCAAGTTCATTAAAATCATATATTTTTTAAAACAGATTATAACGCACGTCGATAACAAGCGAACCATTGTGCAAGAGGACGCCACCAAACATCAGTGATTTCTTCATAATTTATATGGAATTTAAATTGGTATATGACAACGGCAATAAACACGCATTGAACACGAAAATAGTTTATTACAAAAATAAATAAATAAATACATCACATCTGCAAAATAAACAACCAGATAAACCTTCTCGCTACTGTACATACTCTTAACTTAGTAATACCACAGTTAAATACCTAAAACAACATGTCCTTCCTAAGTAGTATTGTTCTAGGAGCGCTAGAACACCCTGTATTCGTGATAGGCCGTCGGTGTCAAGTTTTTCTAATGACTAGAAGAAACCTCGTGATTTTTAGAACATTTTTAGTGATGAAGCGCCAGCTTCAAAAACTCCTCTCTGGTCTTTTGGTTGTCACGAAACTCGCCCAGCATGGTCGAAGTGACGGTTTTGCTATTGATCTTCTGCACTCCTCGCATAACCATGCACATATGTCTGAAAAGGAGCAACCAGGCTAATAAATATACTAAATGCTTAGTTAAGAGGCACTTACGATCCTTCCACCACAACGGCCACTCCAGTGGGCTGCACAGCTTTCAACACAGCTACAGCTATCTGCTTAGTGAGTCGCTCCTGAACCTGCAGCCTTCGGGAGTAAACTTCCACTATTCTGGCAAGTTTGCTCAGTCCCAGTACTTTCCCAGATGGAAGGTATCCAATGGAAACCTTCCCGTAGAAGGGCACCAGGTGATGCTCGCACATGGAAAACATTTCAATGTCTTTCACCACTACCATTTCGTCATGATTCTCATCGAAAATTGCATCGTTGAGGATTTCTTCCAGGCTTTGATCGTATCCCTTGGTGAAATAGAGCATGGCTTTAGCCGCTCGCTCGGGCGTCTTCAGCAGACCCTCACGATCGGGATTTTCGCCCAATGAACTCAACAGAGATCTATAGGCGCTGGTCATTTCCGGAATCAGAGCTTCTCTAGTTGGAAGCTGGCGCTTCGATTCGTGATAGGAGCACTTTTCGGTACCTTTGACGCAATGGCATTTGGGGAGCGCAACAAGTTCCTTGCCCTTTGCTTCATTGCCATTGGAGGTGCCATTGGAGGTTCCATTGGAGGTRCCATTGGCGGTGCCATTGGAGGTTCCATTGGAGGTACCATTGGCGGTGCCATTGGTGAGTCCATTGCTGTGTCCATTGGTGATGGGTTCGCTTTGCTGAATCAAACTCGCCTTTCTTGGATTCACGGGTACCGGTTCCAATTCGCTTTCCTGACCGTTATGGTCACCGATTTCAACCATAATTACTGATTTAATTCGACACTGATTGATCTCCAACTGAGAACAACTACTGTGATAGTTGATATGAAAAGAATCGTATACCAACAAACTACCGCCACTAAGGATTCATTTATTTTATACAATCTTGAGGGACTGACGTCACGCGGTCATTGCGTTGACGAGATCACTATCGAGCGCGTGTTTTTGCTTTCTCGTATATTTCCGCTCAGTCTTGCACATTAGTGATCGCCATGGTGCTGTCCTGTTCTATGGTCAATTTTCGAATCAAATAAACCCCCGCACACCCAACGAGTTAACGATGACTTGGAAATTTTAACTTGTGTTTTGACGTGCCGGAAATTCGCTACTTGCATTAGACATGCCAAAGATAATGGGAAATTAGTGGATTAATCATCACTAATGGTGTTATGGTGCTAACTGGTCTAAGATAGCAACAACTTATGTTCAATTGTTGGTATTTGCATACACTTTTATGGTTCATTATGCGGTTTAAGCAATTATTTGTAGTTTGAATTTATCTACAAAAAAACGCGTTTAAGCGCCGGGACAGCACGTAGTCGGACGACATACCACAGGACGTTTAAACCAATTTTTGCAATTTCAATTTGTCAGTCAAAACAGAAATTGGTTCCAATATTGCATAGGTAGAACGAGTATATGAGTGTCACAGTACCACAATTTCCACTCGTTAAAAAAGGCGGCTTTAATCCAAAAATAATGTACATTTTCTCTCATATTCTAGTAAATTCTTGATTAACATGGAGTAAATAGTATTCGTATTTGATGTGGAAGTAGAAAACAACAAGAAAACAACTTTAATATGTTTATATCGGATGATTTAAAATTGTCGTCTTCATTTGAGCTTGAACCGTCAATCGACGTCGGTTTTTGGTCACATTTTGACATGAAATTGAAGCAAGCGGAGTATCGTCATAATAAAGACGTCACCTAAACGTCATCGAAGTGACTTTTTAATATAATTATAGGCAATCGATTTGATTGTGATCATTGTGATTGATTTGAGATGATAAAGTGGCAAGGAAAACTGCCTGGAGTAAGACATAATTAGGGTTGAAAAATAGATGAAAGCAAGAATAACAAAAAACCTAATCATCATCACACACACAATTCAACAACAAATTTGAGGTACATCTAGTTGAAAATAACAGACAAGCTGAATGAGTGAAACTTTACTACTTGAATCTTCTTTGTCAGCATCATTTTCCATCAGAATTGCCTTTTGAAACGCGAACTGAAAGCGAAATGCGAGAATTTTTTGCGTAAGACGTTCAAGAATCAATATTTCAGCAACAGCTTTTTGAGGGGGTAGCAGACATTACGATAACCATTTTTGCATCATAAATATATGCCCTTAAACGTAAAGCTTTCGAGATGCAGGTTCTAAAAATATGCAAAAACTTGTTTGGTAAAAATATTAATAAATATGTATATAAAAAGACGCTTAAACCGATTTTAGCGAAATATTTATAGTCTGTGGCGAACACTAGTAGGTACTTCACGTTAAGGCTTACTTTCTAAATAATTAAATTCGCTAGGGAAATTGCCATAAAATCATCAATCCGTAAATAAAGAAAAATAAATCTTGAGCAAAAAAGTTCCTGCAAATGCAAGTCCGAAACGCTCCGTTTAAGATCTACGGGGCAGACAAAAATACTATTTTTAAATTTCTCGAAAACGGTCATTAATACTTTAACCAAATTTAGTAAAAAATTATTCAAACCAGTTACGTGCGTAATCCTAACAATATACAGAGAGCTTTTCTGCCTCCAATATGAACAGATAAATCAAAACTAGTTTTTAGTTTAAGAAAAAACAATGGAACATCATGTTTTTCTTTTAAAATTGTACTTTAAGTCTGCACGCACCACACTAGTTTGAATAAACTTGGTTTGTTTAGTGCAAAAAATCTGATCCATACCGCGTTATAAAAGCAGCCAATTGGTTAAAATACTAACGGGCGCTTTAGAGAAATATTTAAAATTGTATATTTTCTTACATTTTTCATAGCCTGTAGTTTCTGTACGAAGCGTCCTCGGGCATTGACTTTTTACTACTTTTTTTATAGCAAATTATATTGCCTTAGGATTTCACATGACACTTTAATCCCGACTCACCCTGTATAAGTATTCTCGACAACTTGGCACGTAAAATTATTTCGTCTACTCGTCATAATAAAAAAAAGTCTTCAGAAGTTCAGCTTACATCTAAAGCCTCCACTCGAGCGAATAACCTTTGAAGATGCAAGGCACTTGCGCTTGCGATACGGCAGAAAAAAATATTTTTTTATATCTACCCAATATTTTAAAAAAGCGCATACACGGATAATATAAATTCGGCTTATTAAAATATTGTAAAAAACTCGGGCAATATGAAACAAAAAATTCTTATTTCGATGTTAGCCAAGTCGCCTAAAAGTTTGTCGGTATATTTATGAAACCTGCAGAGCAAAAGAAAAGCGGTTTTAAATAATTGCTCTTTACTCTCCTTCCATTGATAAACTTTTGGATTTTCCAAAAGAAACCATATCAAAGATGACTGAAATATGCGTATTTTCTTTGAATCTTCATTGCGGAAAATTTGAGCGGAATCATAATTAGTAAACAACGTCGGGAATTTACAGGATTTCAATAATCTCGAATTGCGAGAAATTATTTTCAAACAAATAATTCAAGATTCAATTCGCATATTTTAAACTAAAGGATATTTATATATTTAATTTTCACAAAATTTTCTCTTACATAGATCAAAACATTCATGTTTTGCAAATTTTCTATGGTTTCAAATAACGAATTTTGCTTAATTAGCTCTTGATTTTGTTCACTTTCATACTTTTTATTTATTAATCATAAGTTTCCTTTACATATAATTTGACACAAATGGAACGAACCTCTGGATTTTTTATTCAATTGATAAATCACCCATAAATGCTGCTAAAGGTAGCTTTCTTTTTAGAAGAAAGTCATATATTGAAACATTCGGATTTTTCGAGGAATCTAATCTGATAAAAAACGAAATGTCGCAAACAAAGGCACAGCAAGCAATAAGCAGGCATTTCCGGTTCATTAAAATCCAAATAGTAATTGATTTTTAATATTCTATGCCTATAAACATTGATCATTACTTATGTATATACTTATTGCAGTATTTTCATGATTATTATAGTATTATATGATCATTTTAGACATTTTCATTCCTCCAAGTTGTGTAAATTCAGACGCTTCATCTAGGAATCCAGTGTAACTTGCAGGGTTAAGCAAATGTAAACCAAAATGTACCTTAATATTGACCGAAACTGTGAGCATGAATGAGTTTTTTTTTTATCTAGACACAAAGACTTTCCACATGACTATTTAGAAATCAGAGTATACCTTCTTATCCAAATTGCTTCTGTTGGTTAATGGGGAAATCCACAATACATACACACACCTACCACTCTGCGTATATCGAGCAGGTTTGTCAAGAATGTGTTTGCAAAAAAACCCAGATTCAGATCGTATCACTTATAAAAATCTTAAGGTTTTTGATTAAATATTGATTCAGAATTCACGATATGTTAGGATGTTAAGGAGTAGATGTTGGCATCTAAATTACGCGCGTTACACACAATGTCGCAAGAAAATAGAACACTTCTACACCTTCTTAACGTCTCTATTACCAAAAATATAGAAACGTAAGTTTTATCTATTTAATCCATTCCTTCCCTTGCCATTTGCAAACGAAAATAATTTAAATCCTACAAATCCGCTTTCTTTTGCTAATAATCAACTGAGAAAATCTCCAAGGTGCCCATAAATATTTACGATATTTTTCGGAATCCTTCATTACGGTAATACCTTTAACCAGTTCATATTCGCACATAAAACCCACTCACAGAAATTCCTGCATGACTTATGCTAAAATGGGGATTTCTGCTGTAATCAGTGTCAATTTAGCTAATGGTGGCACTGCCGTAATGCAAGATAGGAGTTGGCTGCTGGTTCAGTTCATTCACGGGATTTCCCAAACGGTTCAAAATCAGTATATGTAAATTGAGAATCGACTACCGTTAATTAAAAAAAAAACTTGCAGGAGGCATAAGAAACACTCATTTTCGGCTGTTTGGAACTGCATACGCAATGATATACAATACAACATTTTATTTGCTGAGTAGGAACTGTTGAACTATTTTATTTTTATTTATTTGATCAGTTTTTTACTTGATTGTTAATATATTAATTTCTTAATTTATCGTGCTTGTTCGAACCAAGCTTTGCTTCCCATACACAAGCAGGGTAAACATTAAAAAAAATATACGTCAAGTCTCGGATTAGATAAAATAGACAGTAAATACTTCGATACGGAACTACAGTGCGCGGACTTGAGTGAACTTAAGAAATTTGTTTTTTGATCATTTTACTTTATCACATTAGTTGTGTGGTGTTTTATCACTGGACGTGTTTTTAAACGAAAGAATTAGAGATAAATGTAGCACTTTTTGCAAGCAAAATATGTTTGATTAATGTAAAAACCAAACTAGCTTATTCATTACTACCAATAGAAAAATGAAAAAAGAAAGCTTTTTATTAAAAGCAAAAAAATTTGATTAATATTCTATAAATTTCTAAAATAGACGAAATGAGAGAAAGAAAAACTTTTGAATGAAAACTACAAGCGTTTGTTAACCCAAAATTCCACTCCATTTTAAATTGACAAATTCAGTTGAGATTGGTGGTTTCATCCCATACCAGTAGATTGAAGAATAACGTTTTTAATTAATTAAACAAATATGCAAATTGTAAATAAATGTTTGTTTACTAGAAGGTTTATTAATGAGACTTTTAATTTTACATGTAAAACACAAAAGCTTTAACACAATAAATATTCTAGAGATTATGAATTCTAGAAAAACCTCAACTGAAACCTCAACTGAAATAAAATTGCTCGATTAGAAAATCATGTTTCTCCTTATGTATCAAAACATGCAGTTGGGTTATTGTCCAGCTATAAAAAAATATGAAATTTTGACCTTATAAGCACTAATTATTTGCCTAGCTTTAAGCTTTTATACCCTCTGCATTAGTAAATTGTGATTAGAAAATATAACTTCATTCGAATGTATACAGAGAAGTCCTAAAGAGTGCACGAGAAATTCTGAACCATTTTTTCTTGAAGTTTGTTAAGCTAATAACTTCAGTCATTCGTTTAAATGGTTTTCTTCGCTTATAGGATTCGCTTTGCAAAAAGTACATTTTGTTAAACAGCTATTGTACAATGCAAATTCGAGCAGATTTGACCCAGAAATTTGAATATCAGACATTTAGCTGCAAGATTAGGCCAACATTTTATGTTTTCCGTCCCGTTTTTGCTGATTTCTCGAAAGCAAAATGAGCAAGAACGCTCATTTTTACATCATTCTAGAGAGAACTAAATGGCCTTATAAGAAAGTGATTAGTAGATGTTGGCAGTTTTCTCAAAAAAGTCTTGCTTTCAAGAAGTTTTAGATTTGCGTGTTTTTTTTTGAGCTACAAAATCGCCTCAAACATGATCCTGTTTTTCTCGAAGTTTCTCAAGAACCATTTGAGCCACAAAATTCGTTTTGACATCGTTGGATAGTGAATTGAAATTTCGAGTAGTTTTGAACCAGAAATCGAAATTTGAATATCATGGATCTGATGGTGATGATCATATCTAGCTGGATCCGCACTTGGTTTGTCTGTAAAGAACAGGTAGCGACCTCTGCAAGTTCTCCAAGCAAAAATTCTCCAACTGATACGCATTTACTAGATAAACACCTACAGAAGGTGGGTCTGCTATTTATAACTGCGTAAATTTGCAATTTTCCGTCGAGTTCACTGTGAAACGAGCATAGACAAACCTCGTATGTTTCACCTACAATTTAAGATAACAGCCTTCAGGTCTGCGCACTAAATGAATGCAATTTTTTTCAGTAGACGCGAACTTAGATGCATTTGCAGAAATTGTATCAAAGAGTCTCAGTTCATTAAATATGTTCAAGGCTTCCAATAAACGCCGTTATAACAATTTTATTATTATTACTATTATTAGTGGTCGTGGTAAAACCAAATAAACGACGTATTCAATGATTGCACATCAAATTAATCTTCTCATATTGACAATACCACAATTATCGTGGAAAATATTGAATAAACGGCTTATCACCACAGAATCATACACAAAAGTTGCGAATGTCGGAATCGGACGAACACCGTCGACTCCGAGAAGCTCATCTGAATATTGAAGATTATGTAAAGCTGTGAGAAATTAACAGACGGTTTTGTGGACAAATCAGTGACTTCAGTACTAAAAATGGGACCTTTGATTGGTGCTATCGACGAGGGTACATCCAGTGCAAGGTTCATTCTATTCAAGTAAGTTTGCTGCATTCTAAATACCCAATAAATTGGTTATTGGGCGATCGATTTCGCGCTGCGCCATCTAGACAGGCCATTAATTTTTTTATAATACAGGCGCAATTTTGCCACTATTATTTACTGGGAAAGTCGACGTAAATGTGTATAAAGCTCAACTAATTAGCCAAGTTGATGGTCAAATTAGGAAAACATAGTGTTCAGACATTGATATAAAGCTACATTTACAGAGTTTTAAATAGGATCGGAATGTTCAATTTCCGCATCATACTTCCGACAAACTACTCATTTCTTAAGGTTCAAGGTGTGCACTTGTGAAACATCTAAAAATAGGGTCTTTGAGACAATTAGGGCAATTCATTTAAACAAGTGGTTCCTACTTGTGAGAAAAACTAGTTTTCAAATTAGTTCCGTCTACAGTCAAGACTAATATATTTTTTATTCCACTGTTAGTCAATTTCATTCCATTAATTTTTTTGTATATACATACAGCCTTTTTCTTTCTACCTACGTTGCTAAACGATTTAATAAACTCAACATTTTTGTTTTTCAACAACATTTATCTGCTGTAGTGACACAACTATTTTTATCTCTGTTTGTCTGTCTGTTTCATCATGTTTCGAATATTGTTATTCAATTAAATATTCTACATTCAATGTTTTGTTAGCATCCCCTCGATTCTTCTAAATTGCTAATTTAAATCTAAATTTAAGATTTATATAAATTTAGCGTCCAAGGCGATTCTTTCAGTATTGCTTTGTTGCGAGCTTTCATATCTTGTTCAACTGCTCTGCCGATATTTTCTGGAGTTTAGATTTTTTTAACTGTACTCATTAAGTAATGTAAGAAAATATTCATCTTATTTCTTACACAATTGTCCCGCCTAGCGATAGTACCGACTTTGGGCCATAAAACTTATCAAAACTTATGATAACCGCTAACATAAAAGCAGCAAACCAATCAAGAATTTAATGGCTTCATTGTGTGCCCCAATTCGTATCGAACCCAGATAATAATAGGGGAAATAGGGCTTCCTCATTACCAAATTCGAGCGATTTTTATTGGATTTTTCGATTCTGATAATTGCCACTGAAAAAAATGACCATTTGATTGTCGCAGGGCTGGCACTACAGAGGTTGTGGCCTCCCATCAGCAATCCCTTTCCCAAATATGCCCTCAAGAGGGATGGGTGGAACAGGATCCGATGGAAATCCTGAGCGTCGTCAATACTTGCATCGAAAAAACTATAGATAAATTGATTTCTATTGGTGGAAGTGTCAATGATATTGCAGCAGTAGGTAATACCGTAAATATATCAACAGGGTGCTCAAAAATAGGACAAATATATTTTGAGTGACGCTAGAGATCCAAGCAGTTTAAAAAACTATACTAAACATTATCTGGAAGTTGCTTTATAAAAGGACTGGAACGCCTTGAAAAGGGAACTCTGAAAGGGTTTTTTCCCAATGTCTGTCGTGTGTCGTTATAGCAGTTGTGCTCAAATTCAAAAATATTCATATAAAAATCAGGTCATGTGTAATGTAATTCCTGCACACCGTGCATAAATATCCAGTTTCCATAATTGTGCAATATTCGTGTTTGCTGGTCTGATTAACCCAGTTCTTTCCCGTTTTAGGTGTAACAAACCAACGTGAATCCACGTTGGTTTGGGAAAAGTCCACTGGAAAACCCCTATACAATTCCATCGTGTGGTTGGACGTCCGCACTTCGACCACAGTGGATCAGCTGCTCGAAAAAATCCCGAACAAAACCAAGAACAAAAATTACTTGAAACCGCTTTGCGGTTTACCGATCTCGCCTTATTTCAGCGCCTTGAAATTGCGCTGGCTCATAGACAATGTGCAAAACGTAAAAAAAGCAATCGCTGCTAATGATTGTCTTTTTGGTACTGTTGATTCCTGGCTGATATGGAACCTCACTGGAGGTTTGCGCGCTATTTCTCAGACATTTTTCCACGCTTTTCACATTAATTAATCGTTTCAGGCGTAAATAATGGGCTGCACCTTACGGACGTCACCAACGCATCCAGGACGATGCTGATGAACATCGACACACTAAAATGGGATCCAGTTTTGCTGCATTTCTTCGAAGTAACACCCAGCGTACTTCCGAAAATCAAATCCAGTTCCGAAGTTTATGGGAACATCGAAACGGGTTCTTTGCGAGGAGTTCCGATTGCTGGATGTGTTGGCGATCAGCAAAGTGCGTTGCTTGGACAGCAATGTTTGGAAAGAGGCCAAGTAAAAACAGCGCAGATTATTCCAATGTATTTAGCGCTAATTGCAAACATGTTTAGGCAAAAGCCACTTACGGGACAGGTTGCTTTTTACTTTACAATACTGGTACCATCAAAGTGAGCAGCTCTCATGGACTTATCACTACAGTGGCTTATCAGTTAGGACCAAAATCACCGCCGATATACGCTTTGGAAGGTAAAATTCAGATCAGCAACTCATTATCTATCCCTTTACAGATTGTTTAATATCACTTCTTTTTATTTTTTCTTGTTTCAAGGCTCGGTAGCCATTGCGGGGGCAGCATTGAACTGGCTAAGAGACAACATGACTGTATTGCCTTCCTTCGGCGAGGCGCAAAAAATAGCTGAAGAAGCCGAACTACAAGAATCTGGGGAAGTCTATTTTGTACCAGCGTTTAGTGGCTTATATGCTCCTTACTGGCAACAAGAAGCTAGAGGGTAAAACTTCCTTTTGGTGTTAGTAGAAGCGTTTTCTGAAGCTGCCGATTTTAGGGTTATTATAGGTATATCAGAGGACACTCAAGCTTGCCATATTGTAAGAGCAACTTTAGATGCCGTATGCTTCCAAACGCGAGATATTTTGGAAGCAATGATTAAAGATTATGGATCTCATCTAGCTAGTATTCAGGTAAGAACGAATATTTTAAAGTGCTTCGAAATTTTCGTCTTAATGTAGTAAACCAGTTCTACAACTCTTCGAGTAGATTATTGTTTTCACTTGTAAATCGCTGCATTAGATCGCGACTAGGACCAAAAATCACGTCTTATTGAGGGCTCTTTTTAATCAAAATCGCACGTGTACAAATCTCAAACCAAAACGACATGATAATCACGTGTTTTAATCCTTGTGATTAAGAATAAATGCTCTTTAAGGTGGATGGTGGAATGACTGCCAATTCTCTTCTGATGCAATTGCAAGCCGATCTTGCAGGTGTTACAGTGGCAAAAGCTTCCATGGCGGAAAGTACAGCTTTAGGGGCTGCCATGGTGGCAGGAGCTGCAATTGGCTTGTGGGATTTGAGCCAACATCTGGAGATCGCGTGTGAAATATGGACTCCAAAACTTAGCGACGATGAGCGCGATATAAGATACTCCAAATGGAAATTAGCCGTGGAAAAGGCCATGGGTTGGGATGTTTTGTGATCGTTAAAAACGCCGTTTGATCCGAACATTCCCAAAGATCTTTATGTGGTTTTTCCATAAGAAACATGTACCTACTGGTGTTAAATCATTAAGTAATAAACGGTTATCTCTGTATTGTTCCTGAACAGGGCTTTAAAAAAAATGTTTCCATGATCCCAGTTTAAGTTCTTACTTACACACCATATTGGCTGTAGTCATATATGATCCTAATTTAACCAGAAATAAAAATAGAAAAAGAGAACAAAAAATGTTTAAAAGAACCTACATAAGCACGTTGATGAACGCAGAATATTTAAAACTAAATTTTTCAGCGACTGAATATTATTTATTTCTGATTTATGTAAAAAATCTATCTAGCTTTAACCGCATTTTTATTCATCCTTTGATTTGAATGTGAAAAATTCAATCGGCAATTCCTGCAAATTTAACAATTCTAGGATTTTTAATAAAAAGGTGATTCTTCAACTACCTGTAACCTCGTTTCATTCAACATTATAAACTGTTACACCTCTTTGTATAATTAATGATAAGACGGAGATAATGCGGATACATCTCTCAGATGGTTAACATCTTACAGTATTCGTTTTTGCTGTTAATTTGCATACGTAGTAGTTGATATTTTTCGTTAATACATTGAAAACATCATGAAAAAAACGGTGAAATGTATTTTCTTGGCTGTAATAGTGCTTTGTGTGTTGGTGCAAGACAGCGAGGCCAGAAGAAAAATTGTACGAGGAAGGAAGGCCGTTACAAGACAGTACCTAAGTGAGTATTGGAAGTAACATTTTCCCATTTATCGTAAAGCAATTTTATCATGCAAACGTTATATGTACATGTAAATATTGGCAACTAAATCCAGCAATTTCGTTTCAGTTACGAGCCATTGTAAGATTCCCTAATATGATTTATTCTCTTTAGGGCCTTTGGCTATTCCAGCATGGGCTATAATAGTTCTAGTGGCAATTGGACAGCTCGTAATTGGAGCCTTCATATACCTTCTGCTCAAAGTGGTGATTTTAGACAAACCTTTGCAAGCTAGATATGCTCCAGCACCTTTATCAAATTCCGAAGAAACTCAACCAGCACAAAAGAAATTTGTTCTTAGCGGATTTATTTAGATTAAGAATTAATAGTATTATATCTGTTTCCAATAACTCAGTTTTGGTTTTATTAAATACTCAATACTCGGTTTATTAAGAAACAAAGAGTTAAATGAATTGATAATTCATAAACTCGATAAGGAACTGTTTGTTTATTGATTCACATGGAATTTATCTAATTCCAATAATCGTCTTTTATCGTCGAGATAAAATACTACATGTAGGTGAACTTATTGACACCTGTTTTAGTTCACATTCAAACTTGGTTTGAAGCGAAAATTGAAAAATTAAAATGTCCATCTCCACTAAATCATTTTTTGTATATTTAGCCGTAGCTTTAGGTGAGTGTACGATCGTGTTTGCAAGAACACAAATTAATAACAACGGTTTTCAGTTATTCTATCTGTGCTTACTCCGGACGTAGAGTGCAGAAGAAATGTTTTGCGCGGTAGGAAAACCGTAACCAGGCGGTATTTGCGTAAGTATCTTCCTAATGAGCTTATTTACCCTGAATATTTCTGAAACCCGTTAGATGCACATCTAGAATTACTCAAGGGGTTTGGAACATTTTTTTATAAATCATGAAAAACGCTTGCGCCTCGAGCTATCGCATTTAGATAACGCATAGATAAGAGGTTCAGTCATAGTTTTATTAAACCGTTGAGAAATCTAGACGATAATAAATAATATTATTCAAATAATATATGACGCACCCGATTCTGTTAAACTAGAAAGACCCACGCATACAGTAGCTTTCAGTTTTAAAATTACACTCAAAATTTCCATAATTCTCAGTGCAATTGCTTAGTAGTTAAATAATATTATTTTACTAAAAATAGACACATTTTCCTGATAAAAAATCAAAATATCTAGGAACTTCTATTAATTGCAGGACCAATGGCAATTCCAGCCTGGGCAGTAATCGTTTTGGTAGGATTGGGACAATTAATCGTCGGAGCATTGCTTTATGTATTAATGAAGAAGCTAATAGTTGATCCTCCCGTGCAAGGAAACTACAGTATGGCAGCCACTGACGACGTATAATCATTGCACATGTTTTATTATTGTTTTCCTGTACAGGGTGGGATAACAAATCTATTTGCGGGTATAATAGCTTAAAATTATTCTTACATGTTTTAAGAAACTCATCGTATGCCTATCTTTGTAATAGAAATGTAATTTTTGCCACCATTCAGCAGAGGTTAAATTTACTGTTTTGATTCAAAACAACCGTAAATATTTATAGTAGTTAATTTACTTTGAAACTTCTGTTAAAGCACCAGGAATATATGACTGCACTGGTTTGGCAGAAACGTAAATAATACCAGAAATTTTCTTTGAATTGTGATGAAAGCATCTAATGTGTTGTGTATCACGAACGGTTTTATTAATCACCCTCCTTAATTTAAATGATTTATATTTGTACATTATAAAGATCATAGGAAAAACATACAAATACACGTGGTCATCATAAAGAGTTATTTTGAACGAAATTGAGACACTAAAACCAGTGTTGATGATCCCAAGTTAAAACTGATTTACTTACTTTTTAGAACTCTGTATTAAGTGGTTCCTATAGTTGAAAGACTATAAATGCTAATTACACTTAAAACTTCTCATAACCAAAAACCGAATTCAAGATCAGAATATTTATTGAATGCATCTGTCGTTCAATTTCGATTTTCTGATTCATATTTTTGTCACACATTTTATACTCTTAACTAACAAGCATTATGTTCAAATTTAAAAATCAATTTAATTAGTCGCTGTCCGCATTAATTATGTTGAGTTTATCCCATTGCACCTGCACAGTCAAATTGTTATTATTGTGCCGGATCACATCGACGGTAATTGGGGCATATAGATCTTTGTCCAATGGTGACCAGCCTGTGTACTGATAGAAAACAAGACATTTAAATTTCAATGCATCTCCACGCAGCATGCAATGAGCAAGCAATATACAGAGGACGCAAGGATATGATATTTGGATTACAGGCAATTTATATGCGAAGAGGATATAGTTAGCTATGGATTAATCGGACACCAATTTACCTGTTAATTGTGCAAGTCGAAGGAAATCAACTAATGCCTATTCTACAAGGTGTAAACAAGAAACCACAAAGTAATTTGAATTGGAAACACGCAAGCAATTATCCTGAAAAACAGCAGCAACATGACTGAATAAGTCCGGACAACAATAAAAACTATCAAAAAAGAAATCAAAGATTATTTGAAATATTTTGCAAGTGCAGGTAGTGTTGGTCGGGATATCATTGCATAATAAACATTTGGCATGGTAATGTAATTGAGTATCACTTTTCCACTTATATAAATCATAATTCATAATTAAACTCAAGTCCTGTAATTTCTAAAATAAAAAAAGTGCATACTTTTCGATCAGTTTCAGTTTTCAAAGCCTGTAAAACTAAAGCTACTCACATGCCCCGTATTAATGTAGGTAAATCCTCCAACATCGAAAGTGACAAAATTTCTAAAATACAAAAAAAGGGTACTTACAATTGAGGTGTTTTTGTGTCTGACTGTTTCTTCTTCATCGAACGCCTCATATTTTTGTAGCAATGCTTTGCCGTCAATTCGCCAAATGACTGGATGCTTGCTTGGGTCGCTGCCCTGAGCATCCTTTTTCAATATGACGAAGGAACCGGTCTGTAAAGAACAGAATGTGTAAAATAATAAAAAAATGCAAAATACAGATTACTTACAGCGTAATCTTCTGAATAGATAGTCTTAGGAATAACTTTTCTGTGAACTCCTCTGGATTGAACATTCGTGCTGGTCCTAGAGGAGTCGGAATCTGTAGCGGCATTATCTTTCTTGTTGTCTTCTTGGGACATATTGGAGTTTGTATCATTTGATAAATCGCTGTCGTTTAACACCTGGAACAAGTACAATCGATTATTGCATAGATTATAGTAAGTATATAGTTGCAATTCGGGACCAATCACTTAAATATATTTGCTAGTAGAATGGTACTGATGATTGGGAATATCTCAACATTGGCAAAATTCATGTCATATTTCATTTTAAAAAAACACATTTTTACAGCTATTTTAGATGCTTCCAATTTTATAAGATCTTTCTGAAGGTTTTGAAAACTTGTGAAGTTTTTATTTCAAGCAACGCGAAGGTGACGCTGAAGCCCAAACTAGTTTATACTGAAAACAGTTCAGAGTTCAGTTCGAGAGTCAACGGCGTCTAGAGTTTCTTTATAAAATACACAGTAGAAAAAAATTCTGACTGTTAACAGTGGAAAAGTGGCAGAAAAACGAACTTGCACATAAAACGTTACAAAGAAAGTGTTCGTAAAGATTCATGATCTACAATGTGAGCAACTTGGTTTTGGCGAAGTCGGTGAAAACTTAACTAGAAAATGAATACTCAGCCTATGAAGCAGGACTATTAGGCGAATTCATAAACTATTCGAATCGTTAGGCTTGCGTGAGTAGGGGTGGACTTTGGTGTTCACCACCAGGACCAGACAATAATGAATACATTGTTACCTTTTGTTTTTTCTGGGCTGATTTTGGTGTGTTAGTAACCTTTTTCTGCGGTTTTTTCTTGGGAACGGGTTCTTCCTCCGAAAAGTAGTCGTCTTCCTCCGACTGTCCTTCTCCATCTAAATCACTGGCACTTTCCTCAACCAGTGGCCTTTTGGGCTTCCTGCTTATTCTTGAAGACTTTCTCCGACTGGTCTCCTCCTTCTTAGCGTCCTGAAACAAATTAAACGCTCCTTAACTGATAAAACGAGGAGGGTGAGTATAAGAATCGCCAACAGTAATGTTACATGTAAGTTTACCTCGACGTTCCATTCGTCTCCAGAACTCTCGAACGGTTCAGGATCGTCCTCGTTTTCTGAATCGTGCCGGCGGCTCATTTTACCTGCAAAATATCTGATATAACAGGGAATATGTTGCAGACCCGAAGGTGTAAACATTGATGTAAACAACCTCTCAAAGTGGGTATAGGATAAATTGCTTGCAAAAATTATAGGAGTTTGGGGACTTACAAATCTATAAACTGTCAGTTGTTTAATAAAATATCCCAGCTATTTCAAGAATTTTCTTAGATAAATCTATACACTTTAGCGATCAGCGTCAGTAAATTGCAAAACAAAATGGCTTGCCGCATGACATACGACAATCGCGTTGCCACATTCAACCAGATTGACAGCTACCAATGTGGACAAACAATGTCGATGTGTTGGCAATGATGTAGTGTGTGCCAAAATTCAAATCAGAATGATCTGATAAAAGGCAATTTAAGCTTGAATACAATGAAATAATTAAATTGGCAATACATATTTCCAAAAGTAAACACTTTCGGAATAGACAACTTTACACAAACTAACTTAACTAAACGAATTATATGTGCATTGTTTATTAATAAGCACACAAAACAAGGTTTTTTGGAATGAAGTGAAAATTTGTAGGCAGACATAATCGGCTGCTGCAAATATATATAAAATATATTAAATATATATTTGCTATATATAATGTTTTCAAAATGGCTACTTTTACGGAAACATCGAAAATCGACGATATCTTGGCTTTTTTTAATAGAAAGTCCCTATTACATTTCATATTTGTATTCAGCAATGAATTTTCAGTTTAAAACGTCCATTTGTCAACACTTATCTGTCATAGGTTTTGACATATGACACATTTATTGCAAAAAAACTGGGATGCAGAGGTTTATTTGAAAAATCAAAACTCCTGAACCATTCTATTTTTTTACTCAATTTTCAAAGGTTTGGCCGACATTTTACATTGATTCTGACACTTTTGCTATTCGCATTACGATTTCTGATAAAAAAATCACGCCAATTTCCGGCAATTCGGAAAGTGCCGGCATTTTGAAAATATTATATTTAGACTTGCAGCAACCGGTTATGGTTGCCTACCAAATTTCATATTAAAAAAATTTCGGGAAATACAAATTTTTCTAACGAACGCGCTAGGTAAATCACCCTGTATTATTATGTACCCGTAAAATCGTATAAGAAGTAGGAGTTTTTTTTTCGGTAGTTTATTTTTATCTTAGGTAACTTTATTCTTATATACATCTTTCCTCTTTAATACATGTATTAATTTTATTGTCGGCGGATCGCAACCCTAGGCTTTGCGGAGCACACTTTGAGTAACGCTAGTCAAGAGAAATGAAATTGCGGCGTGGACGGCAACGCTGCATGCGTATTAGCCTTCTTGATATCGATGAAACAGCTGTCCAATCAACTAATTAGCCGGGAGTGGGGGAACCTGAGCCATGTGCAATGTGCTGAGTGTGCGCATGCGAATTGATGATGTTTGGTGGAATTTCCCTTGCATTCAATGGCAAATTGCCATGTTATGATGCTTGCCATTTAATGAAACTTGCAATTTTAAGCAATTGTTTGTCTTGAAGATTGCAGCAGTCGCTTCCAGACGTTGGGCTCGTTTTCATTTATTTATCATCTTGCGGTGATTTTAATCGGTCCCTGAAAATGCGCTAAACTATGTATTGATGCTAGCCAATAGAAACAAGCCCAATGCAAATCAATGCCAAATCAAATGCCAAAGCGAATGTGACTTGAGTGGATTTAAAATATTCCTGGGTTTAGCAATGATTTCAAATTCAAAAGAGCAAAACCAATTTAAATTAGCGCGACGCATGCGTGCATGGTTAGAATGCTCCGTTATCGGATATTTAGTGGAAACAGCAACGAACTGCGTCACCATTTTTACGGTAGGGTGTTGTGTTAGTGGTCGAAAAGGCGAAATTCGGATGTTGTGAGTGCGAGAAATTTGAATTCGAGTCCTTAAAAGTGGTGGTTCCACTCGGACGTTTTTCCTCATGGAGAACTCAAACTCGGATGGTGTCGTCCTGCCGGACATCTCCGAAGCCGAACAGCTTGCGAGCGAGCACGACGGCAATGGCGAACCCATCGAGACGAAAACTGAACGAGTTTCAACAGTTTCCGTTCGACATGCGGGAGTTCCAGTTTCATTGCCTGTTGGTTAGTTTTTCTAGCGAAAATTCACTCATTTTCTACTAAATTATGCTTGGAAATGTATTTGAGTGAACATTTTCGTTCGAGACAAACGCCTTTGCAATTACCTTGACTGGCTCAATTATAGGGGTCATGCTGCAATTGTTTTATCAGAAATGCCTAACTTGAAACTATGAGAGCAAAAATCTTAAAATTTCCTAATGTTCAGGTATTTTCCTGTCAGAATTTCTGATAAAACTTTGTTGTGGAAAAGCAGACTCGATGTCTCAAACCGTTTATAGGGTGTTTAAGGTTTCGAGGGTCGAGGTCGTCATTTTCGCTTCTATCTCTTCGGTTCTAAGTCTGTTTGGCGAAAGTCGGATTTTCCAAATGCCTGAAAGGGGGCGAAGCCCTGGACCAATTTTTGATTTTTTGATTCCGAAATAAGGTTTAACATTTCCCTTTTTGAAAAACTCCTTTCGAAAATCATGTGCTGCCGAATTTCAGTTTAAATTAACTATATGTGCAGGGTGAGCAGTTACGAAAAAGGTTAAATGGACAAAAAATTGTAGTTTTGAATGATCCGCTCGAAACCAATTTTATTTTTCTAAAATTTGAGAGCTGTCAAGAGATATTTCGGAAAAACTTATTTATAGTACATTTGTAAATTACTTCTAGTTCCGTTGATATTAATTTGACAGGAAAAGGTTAAATAGAAGAAATTGCATTCCACACAAAATGGCATACGACATTTCTCCAAAATAACTGTCATTTTTGAAATATGACACAAATTTGAGTTTTTTAAATGGCAACCATACTTTATTATTGCTTTACCGAATATACCATTTTGTCACGATTTCTGTGATATATCACATCGCTATGATTTTTTTCGAAAATAAAGTGTGCGAACAATTTATATTTTTTCAATTTAGTTGTCATGGAAAATAGTATAAGACATAAGTATCATTGTTTCCATAGTAACAAATAATAACAGTATGCTTCAGTATTTATTTTGACAACTACGTTAAAGTTGGCAATAACTGTATTTCGTATAGTATATAAGTAAGTATATAAGTAATTAGAAGTTTATACAGGCAGCCTTATCACCAGCACCTTCAATGTTATCACGCAAGACCAAATACAACATTTCAAGCCCATGATCTGCGTGGACAATAACGGATACCTGGATGATTCTGGAACCGAACTGAAGACCATCGTTATTCAACAGGAAGATGTTAGTGGAAGCACTTCGGTTAATACTCCGGTGACGGTAAATTTATTGGAATTAGTTATATCAGTGGTTTGGCTACTAGGAAATGTGTTTCGGTGTGCACCCATTGAATGGCTTAACATTTTTTTCCAGCTTATGTTTGCCAGCTTTTAAAATTTAGTTCAAAGCAAATTATGATTTTAGGGAGCTTGGCGGGCTCCATGTGTGTTCAGATGCATAGTACTACTAGAAGTAGTTGGAAAACTATACAGGATGTTGTTGAATATCACGCATATGTGATAGCAGAAAGCGGCAAGAAAATTTTAGTCTCTTAAAATCGCACAAAATCAAAAAAGCTTCATTCCCGATCTACTAGGTAGTTAATTTTTTTTACTTTTAAGTTGTATTTACTGCGATATTTAGCCCAAGTTTTCAAAAAACGCCACTACAATTTAAATTCCAAACTGGTAAATTTAATTGAATAAAACACTTTCACAGTAGCGAATGAAGGAGTTTACGGATGTTCTTCCTGATAACAATCGCCGATCAGAAGAAACTCCAATATATTGCTGAAAGCAGGAGCGGATCCAGCTTTAAAATCAAGGGTCATTGCAAAATTTTATGTTTTCCGTCCCGATTTGCATGTGTCTCGGAAGCAAAATGAGCAAGAACGTTCGTTTTTACATCATTCCAGAGATAACTAAATGGCCTTTATTTGAAGTTTCTCAAGAACCATTCGAGCCACAGAATTCGTTTTGGCATCGTTGGATAGAGAATT